TGGCGCTTATAGTAAAGTTGCAAAATTGCGTATGTCCCCAAGTCATAGACACATTTCTGCCTAAGTCACAGTGCGCCATTATGACGTCAAATAACTGCGTCATACAAATTAACTTAAATCCGACTACGATCAAAAAATTGAACCATGGCAAATTATTGACCCTCAATTGCATAACAATATCATTATGAAGTTTTTTACAATTTTTCTCAAAACTGCTAAAAATGACTTACGCAATTCGGTTATTAGCGTGACGATATACAATTATAGAGATAAATTTGGTTTATACGTAACCGCCTAAGACTCTCATAGTCTTTAATTCTTTCGGTATATTTCAGAAACAAAGTATATCCTTGTTTTAACGTTGCTTTCTCTAGAATACTGTCTTAAAAGGTTTCATATAATGTAAATATTTGTTTATGTGTAGAACATATATGCATAATGTATAAACTCAGTTCGCTAACCCAACAAGACATTTAGATTTGATTTTACTCCACCTAGCGGAATAAAAAAGTACAGATGGTGATATGTATTTTGTAAAATTGAAATAAATGGAAAATATGGGAACGAAATTGGAAACATTTTAATTTAATAAATAGAGTAAGATAAAAATGGGTATGTGGTAAATGGAAAAGAAAACCTTAATATACGCTGGTTCAAATTGACTTTTTATACCCCTTTTATATATGACATAAATAGTTAACCAAACACGCTAGTACATTTCCCAATATCTGTTTAAGAAGCTTATTTTCGCCGCTTCCCACTAAAACGCGCCCAAATTACGTAGCGCGAACGCGTCCGAACCACAGAGATATATAAATATAGAGTGTGCTTCTCTTTCGTTTTTGCGGGACCATTTGAAGCCTCTCTCGTTTTGACGATATGCTTCCAACTTTTCCTATGTGCGCAATGCATTTCTTATGGGATTTGACAGGAATTAATTATTTGCGTCGATTTTTTTTGCATATTCGCATGTTCTTGATTCGTTTCTCATTATATATCAAACGCTAATCCTACCCCAGCTTACCATACAGTCTAATTTTGGCAGGTATATGGATATGCGTAAGTCGCTGTTAGTAATATGGCCAACGAATCAGTCAAAAGCGAATAAAAACGACCACAGAACATCAGCCAAGATGGCTTATGGGAATCGATTCCCTATTTGCCTATATTTGGCCATATTTTATTGCCGTAAGTAGGTATTTTGTGTGGCCTGGCGCCGTAGTGGCCTACTGGAGATATACATATACCTAGTACTAAAGGGCGCTCCAGAAGTGTGTGTACCTATATGGAGGTAACTAATATTGTTCGCCTACTTTACATCAAGTTGTGTAAAGAGACTGAAAGGTATATTATTCACTTGGGCAACACACGCAGTACCCGAACTCGTAATAGAACTAGGATTAGGATTTACATATTTATCCCGAGGGAGAGGAAAGCTGTTAGGACGGCTCAATCATATGGCGAACCACGACCTCTCGTCCGGTTACCAGTACAGGTCGGGTATGGGATTATTTAGCCAGATATTTGTTTTCGGAAGCATGGACTTTATGGTGGAGGAAGCTGTAACCGACCAGCGGTTACGTGAACCACCCTACGGCGGCGAGGAGTCCAGTAATCATCTCGCACATGATCATCCCCGCATGGGATGCGAACCTGTGATACCACAGAGGGTGATGAGAGATGCGGTGGCGAGCGTATTCCTAACGCTTAGCACGATACACCACACCGCCGAACTAAAATAAGAAAAGTCAGAATAAAGGGATGGCCTAACCCCAACCTGGTACACAGACTACGGCAGTATCAACTAAATTTCTCTTCGTCCCATACTACTAGTGAAATTTTCCCGGTGGAGGTTATTGCATTTTATGACACCAGGCAAAAACAATTGTTTCCACTTATATATCTATTGTGCAATCGTCTGAACGACCAATTTTTTTCAATAACGAGATCCACATCAGGCTCTAAAAATGCAACTCGAATACAATTGTATTTGAATACTCACAAAGTGTCGCATATACATCCATATGCGGCGCAATGGGTAGTAAAATAGACGAAAACTGGCCAAAACCATATGCAACACGAAGAAACCTTGGAAGCATGAATGCCAAGATGGCGGCGATCAAATGATCCCGCGGCGAGACAACGCAAAACGAGAGAGAAGATCGTTTCATATATTTTCAGTTCAGTAGTCCGACCATACGCCGGTAAGAAAAGAGAAATTTTAGAAAATTTTGAGAAAAAGTTTCTCACTTTTAACGCTGTGATCAACACACGATCGATATGCGAGAAAAAGAGTTCTCTTTTGGACGAGCTTTACGTCACCTTTAAAACAAAACAAGAGTGGGCTTTTGAAGTGAAGTTATATTCGTTTTATCGAAGAGTATTTGATCGCGTGCTGTCTGGTATCTTTGTTTGTTTATTATGAGCCAGAAAAGGTTGCTCGCGCCTTCAGAATAGCCTACTTCGTTTTCAAATACCAACAGATTCATACAAATAAAATTTGACCTTGTAGTAAAATAAAAATGATACATAAAAAAATATGATGACGTCACCGTGGTTAAGAACACTCGGGTCAAGCATGGATAATTTAAACTAAAACATTTTGAGTTTTGAAATTGGTTTTGTTCACATGCAGACCACTATGAAATACTATTGACCCCCAAAATACATTTAATTTAGCCATAATCCCAAATTATGACACAGATTAGCCATTTATGGATAGGCCGATCCTAAAGATAATTAATAAAATATAATGAAACAACCTTGAAATAAAACGAAACTTTGCAGTAAAGACCATGATAATGTGTGCAAGACAGAAAAGTTGTTTAAATTAGGTCTTTGTATTCTTAAACAAGAGAGCAATGTTCGAATATAGGGATACAAAGACCAAAACGAAATTGTTTAACCACAATTCCCGCCAAACCATACCATGAACGAAGTTGGGACTGCGAAACAGCTAGGTACCGTAACTTACCAGCAGTACCGGTACCCGGACTGTCCCAGCTTTCGCATGTCATGATGATTCATTCATGACGATTCAACATGAATCGAAATACCAAATGATTCGATCACAACTGTATAGTATCCAATCTTTCACAGTAGCAGTAGTTTGTCAAACTTATCATAAAACCTTCGACTTTGCTGCGCATCAGATCGCGGAAATGCGGCCGCGGAACCCCCACACGGTGCGCAATTTCCTAATTTTGATGATTTCAAAGTAATTGACCAAAAAGTTAAAAAGAAAAACGATATTTCCACAACAAGAAGAACAAGAATGCCATCCTGAAATATATGACAACGAAAGGCAAAAAAAAAACATTATTAACCAACAATTCCCCGAAAATTATATCCTGAACTGGAACTGTGGAACACATTACCAGTAACTGTTTCAGGGTACCGGAAACGATACCCGGACTGTATTAGACTGTATTAGGTCCTGTGGCTATGGTGATTCATGCTTCCAGTTTCACCCGTATATTGAAATGCCAATAGATACGTGTCACAACTGTTTTTTAATTTTTTTTTTACATCGGCGTACCGTAGTCTACCGAACACTGTAAAAAACTTCCGACTTCCGCTAAAAACGAGATCCCCTGACATGCGGGCGCGGAACCTCTACAATTAATTTCAATTTTGTTGACATCACCACACAAAACGTCCAAAAGAAAACCGAATTCCATAAAACCCACAATTTTTTTTAAAATAAATAAAAGTAATAGCGACAACAATAATTCTTCACCAATGAAAATTTCAAAACAATTGGTCCATTGAAAAGCGATTTTTTACAACAACAAGAAGAAAATACCAACAACAAGAACAACAACAACATAATAACAAAACCATAGGTCCACTCCGTGTCCAAAACTACCAAGAATAATACTGACAATAACAACAGCTTAACAAAACCATCCATATGTCCCCTTCGCGAGCAAAAAGATACTCAGAGAATAATTTTCAAAGATAAAATGAAAATAGATTTGGACGAATGTTTTACAGAAAAAATGGAGATGTAATTGTTACTAATCTAAAAAATAAAATAGCAAACAGGTTGAAACGACATTATGCAAGAAGTACAAATTTCAAAGATCAAACATAATATAAAGTAGGTTGTTAAACAACTGGAGGGATTCTACAATAAAACTTATGATTTTACCAAAATTTCTGTAAGGCAATACTAAAAAAAAAGTATAAAAGCTCTTTCAAATTCAAAAACTATCGGCGACTGGAACTCTATAAATAATGTTAAAAAATTTTGCATGGTTACATATGTAAATGAATAAATGCACCAGGATTTTTTTTAGTAAAAAAATAATAATGGGGTTGTTAATTTAATAAAGGTCATTGATGTGACGTTGGAATTAAAATGGTTGAATCTATGTTTAAAATGAAAGATAAGAAGACTCAATGGGACTTTGTCATTGGCATTTTCACATTTGAAAAATATTGCAATCAGAATATTAATTTTTTGATTATGAAATGTTGTAAAATGTTGGACCAGTAGAAGTGAGACAAATATGTATCAAAGTCTCCAAAAATGAGAAGATGTTATTTACTAATAAGACTCGATTTCTGAACACAACAAAATTTATGCAATGGTAATTAAATAGTTGCTCTTTCATACATGATATGTACGACTGGGCATTAAATTTGGCCACAAAGAAATATAGGCTAATATTTTCAAATTATCGTCGCCAAAGAAATTGTTTAATAATTCTGAATATATTCACAAAGGTGTAAAACATTTGCCGTTCAACTTGACGCTGTTTTCGTGGTCAGTAAACAGAAGAACATTTATCGAAACCTCATCAAGGAAGTAATTTGATGAATATTTAGAAAAATTAAGTCACGCGCTTGAATGAAAACTGAAGTTCTGAGGCTGAATCGAACTGGAAAGACAAGTGTCGTGCATTGTAATAACAATTTCACTGCAGACTTTTTTGATAGTTTTCTGTTTTGGGGCATAGAATGTTTGATAGGGATAGGGTTGAAACAATTGAGTGTATAATATTAAAATATATATTACAGAAATACCCGATGTGATAGACGCTCGTAAGCGGGGTAACAACACTAACTTTTTATCTTCATGTAGATCGTATCCAAGCCAATTAAATGGCAACTAAGGCTTATTGACAGGACGTGAACAAGGTATAGTGCGCATTACTGAAACGCCTTGAGCAAAAACTTTCCCCGCCAAGCTATGAAATATTCACGTTCAAGCCTGAATCTAAATCCAAAACGAACCTGTGAAATTGGGTCCAACTCTGACATAACGTACTCACCTATATTGCTGTAACTACATTTGTGCTGCAATTTTAAGCTGCAGATGTTTGGAATGTGGTTAAAACTGCATCAACAAATTAAGTTTACTGCATTGCTATCTTGTTACATGGGGATGAAGACAAAGGTTATATTCTTATTTGGTATACTGACGACAGCCAATGTTGTAAATTGTTTTACAAGTGAGTACAAATACTTTATATAAATAAATTTATATACTAGTTTACATGCGAGTTGAGGAGTTGGATTTTGATTTATCGTGTCGTTGCTATATGGCATGCTCAAAAAACTTTCAATTGTTCAAAAACTTCCTATAAATTGTATACAAACAAGGTATGCCGTGATTTTTGGAATCGACAATGATGCTGCTGTTTGAAAAATAGTCAGTTTTTCATTTGTCGAATGGTCCAGATATCGAGCTTACAATTTGATAAAACTAAAATTTTATTTGCTACAAATTATGCTCTGTCTAATTAAATGAAATGCATACCTTTGATTATTATTTCATTTCAACTTTCAGTTGCAAATGATGGCATTACAACATGCAAAAACATGGCAAGGGATCATCAGGGTCAATCATTCGAAATCCACTGCCCGGCGGGTTGCGATGCGTTCACGAACAGGCTCTGGGGAACAACAGTATACACAGACGACTCATACATCTGCGCAGCAGCAATCCATGAAGGAAAGTTGACAGGTGAAAATCATTATAAAGATAATGTAAAGATGAAGATGTGTATTTATATTACTATTTTATTCAATACCAATTTAAACTAAAACTAGCACGGAAATGGTAAAACAATAATTAACAATGTTATCCTTTTCGAAATCACGAGAAACGTCTTTTTATGTAAACTTCACCCAGTTGATGGAGGCTATGTAAAAGTATGGAAATCTGGCTCAAGGAGCGCTTACTCTAGTACCACAAAAAATGGAATCACCTCAAAAAGCTATGGGTATTGGAGAGGATCTTTTCATTTTACTGGTGAGTAGATAACTATAAAGTTATATGGAAATATTATTCTACCTGTTGCTGACATTTGTAATATATATGTAATGCATGAATGAATTTTTTTACATTTATTAATTCTTACTTTAAATTTTATTCTCTATTTAGACTCACCAAAAGTTGAACTTGAAGGTATTATTTTTATTTTCTGTGGGTAAATTCAAATACCAAATAAATAGCAAACAACTCTTAAAAATTCAATCGCAAGTGCGGACAATGGGGGCAATTTTAAGACTAATTTTTAGGACCTCCTGAAGTATGCGCACCAAGATGGCGCACAACCTGAACTCAGGTTGTGTACAAAGTTAGAGTCGGGTTGTGAGACATCTTGGTGCGCATACTCGTGGAATACCAATTTTGAACTATTTGTTTTTCAATTAGTAAAATCAAAGTGCCTCTCAATATAGCGATCAAAATTGACATATGAATTAGAATTGGCAATTAAAGTTGTTGAGAAATAGGAAAATATTGTTACAATGGTAAACCACAGTATATATAAATGATAATGAGTATTTTTGGAAATTTTGTGGAGCAATCAATTTAGGTGAGTTTGGTCCGTCGGGACCATTGTTCAATATGTTGGCAGGAAAAATGCCCGAAATCCCAAGTCAATCAGCTTTTCGAACAAAACAGCAAACTCGTACTGATATCATTCTCGTGGGTTGTACGAGTATTTTTGTCCATGTTTTTATTTCTGCTGTTAATATTTTATCAATATTTGCGTTATAATTTCATGTTTTTAGACATGAAGTGAACCTATGTATCGGTTTGAACTCTCTTTTTCCTAATCATATATATATATTCGTACTACCATCCTTGGTCATAATATGACAATATTAGTTATTTTCGGACTATTTTACGTTTATGTTCATGTTTTGTGAAGTATTCCCGCACTAACTAAAATCATTTTAGGCTTCCAACTATGATCCGTGCTTGATCCGTCAACTGTTTTTTTTTGTAAATTTTTTATTCTACTACTAGGTGAATTTTATTTGTGTAGGTATTTCAAAGCTTAGAGATACACGAAAGTATTTGTCATTACTTCAAAGATAAGTCATTTGAACGAGCGGGAAACAATTTCGCGCACATAATAAACAAACAAAGATTCCAGACAACTATCGTGAACATGCTCTTACATATCATTGAATATTTCGCGTTTCGCTTCGCTTGCGAAGCTGAGTCTGGTTTTTCTGCAAAGGTGACGTAACGCTCTTTGAGCCGAGCGCTTAAATCTTGTTTCTTTGTAACACGTGTTCATCGGAGCGATGAGAGTGTGAAACGTTCTCTCAAAATTTTTTGAAATTTCTCTCTTCTTACCGGCGTAAGGTCGAATGGTTTGCGGCTACGTCATATGGGCGCGTTTTAGTAGGAAGACGAAAATAAGCTTTTCAAAGAGATATTGGGGGTGTTCCTGGCACGTTTGGTTAATTAGTCATTACATATTATAAAATGGTACAAAAAGTCGATTGTTATTGTTGCTGTTGTTGACGGTATTTTTTCTTGTTGAACACGAAATGAACTTATAGATAATTTTAGTAATATTTTGTTGTTGTTATTAGAATTCCTTTTGCTGTTGTTATGACAAAATTGCTTCCTTCTCTCTTCTGCTGTGCCAATTGTTTACAATTTTAGGTGGTTAAAGATTGTGTTTGTCGCTAGAAAGCTATTATTTATTTTAAAATTTCTGCGGGCTTTAGGGAATTCGTTTTTTTTATGCGTGATAACGCCATCAATAATAAAAATTGTGCACTTTGTGGTTCCGATCCACAATTCCAATCTTAGCAATTTGGTGGTCAGTTGAAGTCGGGAAACCTACGGTACTGGTACTGTGGAAAATTACATACCCATACTACTTCGTTATCGCTTTCGTGTTCATATATTTGAGCATTGTTCAATAGGAAGTGGACCTATGGGTTATTGGGACAGTAGGAAATCGGGGGCTAGTGTAGTGTAATATCAGTGGCCGTTGCGTAAAAATCCAAACATCCAAAATTAAGGTCTCTGCGACGACACAATCACGCCAATAGTTGAAACATAGATTTTTCCAGTCTTTAGTGAGTTCGTTGTCGCAGACGCTATTATGGGCGATCGCCGCCACACTTTGACAAGCTTCTTGCGGGTAAAATATTTTGTTCGGCCGACGTGTTCTTATATTTGAAAATTGCCCACTTGTTGTTATTGCTGTTTTGAAAAAAATGGATTTCGTGTCCACATATTTGAGCATTGCTCTCTATGTTTTTTGCAGAAACAGTTCTGTGCACAAAACAGGCAAATAGCAACAATCAAAATCATTTCGTTGCAACTTGTCCGAGCGGATGCGACTCACACACCTCCAGATTGTGGGGAACTATAGTTTACACAGATGATTCTTACATTTGTGCAGCAGCAATTCACGCCGGAGTGATTGAAGGTAACGCCATGCTATATCAAAAAAATTTTCCTAATTAAATATATAGACATATATTTAGTTACACATTATATTAAGCATAAAATTAAAAGCACAAGACAGAAAACACATACTGTTGTAATGTATTTAAGTTAAGGAACCGATGCCCTATTCACCAATGTTATCCCCTGCTTAGCATATTTTATCTTTAGCTACTAATGGGGGTGACGTTACAGTTTGGAAATCTAATGGAAGAAGCAGTTACTCTGGAACATCTAGAAATGGAATCACTTCAAAAAGTTATGGAAGTTGGGGTGGCTCGTTTCAATTTACTGGTGAGTTATATATTAAATAATTCTACTCTAAAGAAAGCGATGACGTGACGATACATATTCATACCTATTATTTTATTCTATAGATTCCAGAAACAATCAGCGTAAGTAAAACACACATTTGGAACGAGTTTAAGTTTTTCTAACACAAGACAAAGATAGTCAATGTAAAGATTCATTTTCCAGAAGCAACATCTTGCACCATACAAGCAAATAACTATGATGAAAATCATTTCACTGTTGTTTGTCCCAGTGGATGTGATTCACATGTTTCCAGATTATGGGGAAGCGTAATCTACACAGATGATTCTTACATTTGTGCTGCTGCTATTCATGACGGTGTGATAGAAGGTAACGCAAGATCATTCTTATTATCAAACTACTAAACATCGTTTTAAACAAATCATTAATTACGATCATTTGAATCTAAGCCTTAATTCGAAGAGTAATTATTTTCACTAAGGCAAGGATTAAGATGATATTATTTGCCCTTTGTTTAAATAAATTTAAAAAAAAGCATGGAGCTATATTTAATTTTACAGAAGGCAATGCAGGAGGCAAAGTTAATGTTTGGAAATCCGACGGAAGAAGCAATTACTATGGAACATCAAGAAATGGAATCACATCAAAAAGTTATGGAAGTTGGAGCAGTTCTTTTCAATTCACAGGTCTTTAATTTTTGAACTGCAATAAATACATAGATCAATGATAATTGTTTTGCATGTTGAATTATAAATTAGGCATTATACATATTTGACTTGTATTTTTTTTTTCCAGATTCCGAAATTGTCCAACGTAAGTATAATATATCTGATTTGAAACTATTTGAAATGTTTTAAAAGAACAACTTTTGTAAATATTGGAAAAGAAGTAGACCCATGGGCCACTTTCTTATAAAGTTGTTGTTAATTCTATTTTTCTTGTTGTTGCTGTGAAAAAAATGCCTTTTTCTTTAACTAATAGACCGGTTGCTTTTTAAAATATTAGTGGGTAAAAAAATGTTTGATATCGCTAGGAGGCTATTAATTACTTATATTTATTTCAAAATATGCTCTGGGCTGTATAAGATTCGTTTTTGACTTTAAAGTTTTGTGTGACAAATTGAATATTTCGCACCGTGATGCGGCCCCGTGATTGAATCAGAGGAACTCGTGCTCAGCGAAAATAAGAAGTTTTTTGATGAGGTACGGTAGATTGTCGGTACTGTAGGAGATTTGATACTACAGTTGCGACTCGAATCAATCGTTAATTCGATCCATGTTGAGACTGGACGCATGAATCATTATCCTCAATGAACCTGCGAATGTTCGAACAGTCCGAGTACCGTCTTTGGTAAGATACCAACAGTGTTGTTCCACAGTTCCAGCTTCGTTCAATATGTGATTTTGCAAAATTGTGGGTAAAATATTTCATTTTGTTATTCGTGTCCATTCAACTTCGCATTGCTCTCTTGCTAATTTTAGAAACCATATCATGTACTACACAAGCAAATAACTATGATGAAGATCATTTCACTGTTGTTTGTCCCAGTGGATGTGATTCACATGTTTCCAGATTATGGGGAAGCGCAATCTACACAGATGATTCTTACATTTGTGCTGCTGCTATTCATGACGGTGTGATAGAAGGTAACGCAACATCATCATTATTGTCAAAATACTATAACACGATTTTATCACATCATCAATTACGAATATTCCAAAAGCTTATCCCTAATTTTAAGAGTAATTACGTTTTCATATTTTTGATCAAATTCGATTTTATTTGATGATCAATATTCGTACAAATTAAAATATTTTATTTCATACGTGTAACATATTCTGATTAATCACAAATAACATATCGTATCCATTTCAAAATAACAGGGGTCATCTCTTTCCAAAAATATACTTCACAGTGCACCTAAATATATTTCAGTGCATCAGTTTTGAGGTTAAAAAGTTGAAAAAAAAAACGATTTGTGGAAAACTGAAAACCGCCAAAAAAAAAAAAAAAAATTCTATACTCTTAAAGCGCATTGTAGTTTTTGGCTGATAATTATTTGATAATTAAAATGGTACTCCCGACGTATGTGAACCAAGATGGCGGACACCGGAACGTAGTACGTGTACCTGGTTAAGGTTAGGCCATGATTTCAGGTACAAATACTACGGGCGTCACTTGGCTGGTCTCCGAACTCGTAATAAAACAAAAATAAGGCAAATTGGAATAAAATTATGGCCTAACCCTAACCTGGTCCACAGGTGTCCGGTGTCCGGCATTTTGATTCACATACCTCGGGAGTACCATCAAAATAGCGCTATTCGCATTTGTCATGACGTCACAGTAATTTTCGTACGTAAGTAGGTGCAAATATGAGTGAATGATGAAAAAACTCTAGAACACTATATAAAAGGTATTTATTTAATCAAAAAATAAATTCCATATCCAAAGTTAATGGGGCCAATACTCTGAAATAAAAAATATGATGAGGTCCGAATCGAATACTCTAAGTCTAAAGGTCCGGAATGAATATGAAAATGATGTTATCGATTCCATAAATCAATATATTATATTCGCTTTTCATTCACCAACAATATCTTGTGGGAGTTGCCTTTTGTTTCAATGATTTAAAGGGAAAACATGAAGTAATGTTTAATTTACAGCTAATGCTGGAGGCAAAGTTAATGTCTGGAAATCCGACGGAAGAAGCAATTACCTCGGAACATTAGGAAATGGAATTACTTCAAAAAGTTATGGAAGTTGGAGCGGTTCTTTTCAATTTCCAGGTCAATAATTTATCAACTGCAATAAGCTAGAAAAGTCAATTACATTGTTTTGTATGTTGACCTGTCATTTGGGCATGAAACATATTCGATCAGTATATTTCTTTCCTGAATTTCTAGATTTCGTAAGGGTCCAACGCAAGGATGATACATTTTATTTAAATCTACTTGAAATGTTTTAATGTAACTACTTTTTTGAAAAAATAATGTTTAGAAACAATATCATGTACCACACAAGCAAATAACTATGATGAAAAACATTTCAATGTTGTTTGTCCCAGTGGATGTGATTCACATGTTTCAAGATTATGGGGGAGCGTAATCTACACAGATGATTCTTATATTTGTGCTGCTGCTATTCACGACGGTGTAATAGAAGGTAACGCAACATCATTATTATTTTCAAACTACTATAACATCGTTTTCAATACATCATCAATTGCGATCATTTGAAAATATGTGACTTAATTTAAGAGTAATCACATACAAATACTTTGATAAAATTAGATTTTATTTGACAAACAATATTTTCATAAATTGAATAACATCGCTTCATATCTGTAACAGTTTCCGACCAACCACAGATAAAATAACAAATTGCATCCACTAAGGCATCCCTACTCAACTATTCTCACCATAGATAATAAATCAAAACTTCAAAATTACTGGGGTCCTGTCTTGATAGAAAATATATTTCACAGCACGCCTAAAAACATTTCTGTGCCTCTAACTTTGAGGTTGGAAAGTTAACAGGAAGGCGATTCTTGGAAAACCGAGTAAGCAAATAAAATTCTACCTCCTTAACACGCGTTGCAATTTACGGCTGATGATTATTTGCTAATCAAGACAGTACTATTAGCATACTTCATTATAAAGTTACGGTTCTTCGCGTATATAGTTGAATAAATCTTCTGAAACAATAAATAAAAGTCTTTAATAGATGGATTCTGCTCCAAAACAGTGGTTCTCGAACGATGGAGCGCGCCCCGCAAGAGGGGGGGGGGCTTTTTGAGGGGGCGTGAAGCTATTTGAATTAGTAGTTAGATTTGATCTTTCCCGACTTATTTTGGATATTTACATTTCAAAACGTTCCATTTATTTCCTTATTTACGTTCCATCCAAGTATTTCGACGTTTTCTTTGAATAAAACTCAATTTCGCCTTACCCTCTGTTATTCTTAGGTTATTGTTAGCTAGTAATTTTTGAAAGTGGGGCACGAGACTTGACAATTTCTAAAAAAGAGGCGCGGCTTAAAAAGTTCGAGAACTACTACTCCAAAATACAGAATCAGAGCGGTCCGAATGAGATACCAAAAGGGACGGATTTGGAGCGGGGTACGCCAGTTGAATATCCTGCACTTAAGCAAAGATTCAGATGATGTTGTCAATCCACCTTTATATAATCTTCACTTTTGGTTCCCCAACCATTTAATTAATTTTCAGCTAATGAAGGAGGTAAGGTTAATGTTTGGAAATCCGACGGAAGAAGTAATTACATTGGAACATCAAAAAATGCAATCACATCGAAAAGTTATGGAAGTTGGACCGGTTCTTTTCAATTCACAGGTCTATGATTATTATTATTTTCAAACTACTATAACATCGTTCTCAATACATCATCAATTGCGATCATTTGAAAATATCTGACTTAATTTTAAGAGTAATCACAAACAAATACTTCGATAAGATTAGATTTAATTTGACAAACAATATTTTCATAAATTGAATAACATCGCTTCATATCGGTAACAGTTTCCGACCAACCACAGATAAAATAACAAATTGCATCAACTAAGGCATCCTTACTCAACTATTTTTACCATAGATAAAGAAACAAAACTTCAATAAAACACATAGGTCAATGATAACTGTTTTGTATGTTAAATTATAATTTGGGCATTACACATATTTGACCAGTATGTTATTTTACTAAATTTCCAGATTCCGAAAATGTCCAACGTAAGTATGATACAACTGATTTAAACCCCTTTTTGTAATTATTGGGAAAGAAGTGGACATATGTTATAAAGTTGTTGGTATTGTTTTCTTGTTGTTGCTGTAAAAAATGCTTTTTTCTTTACCTACTAGACCAATTGCTTTGGAAATTTTAGTGGTTAAGAAGAATTTTGATATCGCTTGAAGGCTATTACTTTTAATTATTTCAAAATTTTCTGTGAGCTGAATGAGATTCGATTTGCACTACAAAGTTTTGTATGGCATCAGCAAAATTGAAAATTGCGCAATGTGATGAGGCTCCGTGATCGCAATCAGCGGAACTCGTGCTCAGCGAAAGTAGGACGTAATTTGATAAGATACTGTAGGCTGCCGATATATACTGAAAGAGATTTGATACTGCAGTTGTGACTTGAATGATTTGTTATTTGATTCCCTGTTGAGATGGGACGCATGAATAGGGTACCATTATTGGTAAGATACAGTAGCTGTTTCACAGTTCCACCTTCGTTCAAGATGTGATTTTGCTAACTTGTGGGTAAAATATTTCATTTTGTTATTTGTATCCATACAATTTCGCATTGCTCTCTTATTAATTTTAGAAACCATATCATGTACCACACAAGCAAATAACTATGATGAAAATCATTTCACTGTTGTTTGCCCCAGTGGATGTGATTCACATGTTTCCAGATTATGGGGAAGCGCAACCTACACAGATGATTCTTACATTTGTGCTGCTGCTATTCATGACGGTGTAATAGAAGGTAACGCAACATCATTATTGTTGTAAAAATACTATAACATCGTTTTTAACACACCATCAGTTACGAATATTCAAAAATCCTATCCTTAGAGTAATTACATTTAAATGCATTTGATCAAATTCGAATCTATTTGATAAGCAATATTGGAACAAATGGAAATATATACTCCATACGTGTAACAGTCTCTGATCAACCACAAGCAAAATAACATATATATCGTTTCCACTTCAAACTTACTGGAGTCGTCTGTTTCCAAAACTATATTTAATAGTGCACCTAAATATATTTCAGTGTTTCTTTTAAAATTTAAAAGAAAAGCGATTCGTGGAAAACTAAGAAACCGCAAAATAATTCTATTTTTTAACGCGCATTGTAGTTTTTGGCTAATGATTATCTGATAATAAAAATAGCTCTATTTGCATTATTTCGCATTACGTCAAAATACTTTTGATATTAGTTAGCTGTTAGTTAGACTGAGTTAGCTGCAAATATGAGCAAATTATGGAAAACTCTAAAACCCTAAATAAAAATTGTCTAATTAATCAAACGAAACTTTCACATATCCAAAGTTAATGGCGCCAATACTCAGATGAGGTTCGAATAGAATACTCTAAGGGTGCGGATTAAAGGTGAAAATGATATTATCGATTGCATTTATATATTATATTTGCTTTTCGTTCGCCAGTAATATATTGTGGTAGTTGTCTTTTATTTTCATGAGTTATTATGGAAAACATGTAGCAATATGTAATTTACAGCTAATTCTGGAGGCCAAGTTAATGTCTGGAAATCCGACGGAAGAAGCAATTACTCTGGAACATCAACAAATGGTATTACTTCAAAAAGTTACGGAAGTTGGAGCGGTTCTTTTCAGTTTACTGGTAAGGCATCTCGTGGTATATATGTATTCTAAAACAAACAACGGCTTGTTAATTGGACAAATTGATTTTTCAATTTTTGTAAAAAATAGTAACTGTTGTATTTTTTCTAATTTTTCAGAACCCAAAGTTGTTCAGGGTAAGTATGGTATACAGTTTTATTAGTGGATGGATTTGTTTTCTAAATTTGAGCTTAGCATAATGAAAGCGCAATTCGCAATCAAATTTCAGATACCGTCCAATGCACCACACAAGCGAATACTTATAACAAAAATCATTTTACTGTCATCTGCCCGGGTGGATGTGAGTCAAACACTTTCAGATTATGGGGGAATGAGATTTACACAGATGATTCTTACATCTGCGCAGCTGCTATTCATAATGGTGTGATTGAAGGTAATGTAATATGGTTGGATAATAACATGAATTTGTGATGAAAATTGTTAGTAGCTGTGATTGAACCGTAACAGATTCATTGCCATCGTATTCGCATTTACTACTATGCAGCTTTGAGATGTATACAGGTATAGCCTACATAACAATAACCATTTATAAAATTTGTAGGTATCAATTTACATCCAGTGATCTAATTCAGTCTTTTTTATCATCTCAATATCGTCGTTAAAAATGTGTTGTTCACTTTCATGTGAAAATGGTGATTCTGGACGATTTATTTCAGCTGATGAAGGCGGTAAAGTTCAAGTTTGGAAAATGGACGGAAGAAGCAGCTACCTAGGGACAACACGAAATGGAGTAACTTCAAAAAGTTATGGAGCTTGGAGCGGTTCTTTTAAATTTAATGGTAGGGTATTCGTACAAAATAATATATCAAAACTATACTAAAACACTATTAAGTAAATCTTCAATAGGTCTCTTATGTCATGTTGGACATTGTACAACTATTTCTGCTTTTTATTCTAGATTCAAAGTCTACAGAAAATGAAACTCGGAGTAAGTACAACATTCACATTAAAAATACAAGATTGTTTTGAAAAATCCCTAATTCTTCATATATATTTACATGATTCTTTTTAGAAACGATATCTTGTTTGGTACAAGCAAATACCTACGATGAAAATCATTTCACTGTGGTTTGCCCGATTGGATGTAATTCAAATACCGACAGATTATGGGGGAACGTAATTTATACTGACGACTCCTATATTTGTGCATCTGCCATTCATGATGGAATTATTGGAGGTAACACGATGGCTCGTCCAGGTCCAACAGTAACTTTTTTTCAGTACAGATTGATATTTAAACGTATTTAAACAGCATCACTGAATTACCTTGTAAGCCCAACTTGACTATAAAATATAAATAATGGTAACTAACTGTTAAAACGTCTATCTTTAGCTATATGGTTATGAAATTACTAAACGCTATCATATTTTTTCAGCTGACACAGGAGGCGAAATTGTTGTTTGGAAATCTTCTGGTAGAAATAGTTATTCTGGTGCAACAAGATTTGGCATTAGGTCGAAAAGTTACGGAAAATGGAGTGGATCTTTTCAATTCAGTAGTAAATAAATTAAATATATATATACTTGTTAACCACATTACGATATAAATAAAACAACCCATCTGTTAAAATTTTTAGGCGAAAAGCCTTTATATTAGACCTTCGAGCTAATTTTATACTTCAGAACCTCAGAACAACGAAGAAAATGTTGGTAATATTACTTGTGAAACCAAAGCAAGATCGTTCTCAATCCCAACTTTTACTGTGGTATGTCCTTCTGATTGCGCTACGAAATCGTACAGTTTATGGGGAACAGGAACCTATACTGATGATTCCAGTATATGTGCCGCAGCAATACACGAAGGCGTGTTAACAGGTCAGTGAAAACTCACAAAGATACATTACTAGTCATATTGAAAGAGTAAGCGTTGGTTACCTATCGATTTTAATCGGTAATTACTTATCGACTTTAATCGGTAAGTATGTTGATTTGTCTGTCTGTATGTCTGTTCGTTTGTCTGTTAGATGCACGCGATATCTCACAAAAGCGGGATCTGCTCCAGATTTTGCATGTGCATTCATCTTATCTCGGACCAGAAGCCTATCGATTTTGGGCAAATTATGTCGTATAATTAGCGAGTTATTAATTAATTAGTGATGGAACACAAGATCTCACTATGGAGTAAAAGCGCTGTTTTGGGGATCCCCCAACTTTCGATCGATAAGTCTTCGGTCTCTGTCCGATACTCTCGTTTCAGCTTTATTCAGATAAAAAGAAATGATTTGTTATTTTAGAATACTATGATATTTATTAAAATTTAAATATTATTTGAAGTTAAATTTATTTTCATGTTTTGTACTACAAAATTGTTACTTATCGATTTTAATCGGTAAGTATGTTGATAGGTATTTGTCTGTCTGTATGTATGTTAGATGCACGCGATATCTCACGAAAGCGCAATTGAATCTGCTCCAGATTTTGCATGTGCATTCATCATATCTCGGACCAGAAGCCTATTGATTTTGGGCGAATTATGTATAATTAGCGAGTTATTAATTAATTAGTGATGGGACACAAGGTGTCACTATGGAGTAAGAGCGCTGTTTTGGGATCCCCTAACTTCGATCGATAAGTCTTCGGTCTCTGACCGATATTCTCGTTATTATTTTTAATAGCTGGTGAAGCTGGCCATAGCCAAGTTTGGAAGATAGATGGAATGTCAAGATATGTTGGTAGCACACAACATGGAATTACGTCTCAAAACTATGGAGAATGGTCAGGGTCATTTATGTTTGAAGGTATTCCATGATTTTTTGATTTTCCACTTTTATCTCTGTCATGGCAGTTTCTGCCTCGAAACTTATGATTCATTGTGAACAAAACAATTATCATATATGTAGCACAATATAAAGAAATTGATGATGTATCTGAATACTAAAACATAAGAGTATGGCTATTTTCTATTTGTCTCAATATGGTCTAAATTCTAAACAATTCAGACTGTCAAATTGAGCTATAAACTGATAAAATGTGGAGTTCATTACCTAAAGTTCAAAGTTCGCCCAAGAGATCACATTTGCAATGATCGATGTTATGGCAATGAACATGTGACATAAATCTGACTTGATTTTTAGTTTATGCACTATGCAAAAATATATTACGAGCGACAGTTATTTTATTGTATCAAACCAGAACTTTTCCAGACATCTGCCTTTGAAGTTGTGAGTGCTCAATCATTTCATTTTGGCCGTGTGGATGGAATGAGCAAACAATATATTATTCACAAAATCTTGTACTGAGTTGATCAGATGCTTACATCGCGTCAAATAAAACTAAAATAAGATTATGAATTTGGATGAAATGGTTTATCTATTTTCTACTCAAATTTGCCGAGATTGGCAAGATTTGCGGCATTTAGTATTGTCCGGGCATTTCGCGAATGCGTCCAAGGTTCAATTATTTTCATTTATACCGTGAGAATAACTATATTTCTAATCTATTTTAGACCCGGCTTTGGTACAGATGAAAGGTAAAGCGAATAATAATGACTATTTCAATACCATTTTAACTTTCTAACTAAATAGTTTGACATCACAAAAGCAACTAAATAACACATATCAAAGAACCTTTACTGGAAATCTATCTTAAATCGTTATTCGGGCATTATTACATGGTGCCTTTCATTTATCCTAAACATGCTATCAATGTTTTTTTCAATTTAATGATTTGTTGATGCAGTCATCTTGCAGGTTCCTAATATGATATTATTTTCTCTCTTTAGATAACAAACAAGATACCATTGGTAATATGTATTTTTTATTTAATAAACAATAGTGTTATGTACTAAAATACTGTATTAGAAAGAAGCATAACCGGATTATTGATTAGACTGCATGTGTTTGTACAGTGCCTTTGCCATTGAAGCTCAAAAGCTTAGTCATACTATGTTTACTTCTTGACTAATTTTTAAATACTATATATGCCATGCCTCGTTGGAAGGGTGTAGGTTTTTGTAGAAAACGAGTCGTATTTAAGCCGGTTGCTTGTATGAAGTCCTATCCATGACAAATGTGTAAACATTTCATTGAACTTGAATTTTAAAGTTAAAATAGTCATTTTAGCTAACCGTTTGTCTTATGTTGGATCATCGGAGCATGTTACATTGTGTATTCCGTCTGTTGCAATAATATTTGTTTTATTTTCACAGTTGAAGACGAACCTTGAGAAGGCAAACGTGACTTCTGTCATTACTGCTCAGTATAATTTTGATTTTATTTGTCATTTGTAAATAAAACACGCAAAGAAGGAAATGAATATTCTTTTCAACTTAGTCTGGAGTATTGGTTCAAGTTCCACAAAATTTGTTTGTAAAGGGTGAAAGATAGCGTTGGGTGCAAAAGGTGGGTCGTGTTTAGTATGGGCAACAATGACAAGAAATGTACGTGTAATGCAAATTTTAAGGTGGCCTAGTCAAAAAACGACAGTTGCCTATTTAGTGTCTGTGAATACGAAAATCGCAAGAGAACAATGCTCAAATATATGGACACTTCAAAAACGAAATACTTTACCCACAATTTCTCCCAAACATCTTATCCTGAACGAATCTGGCTGGAACTGGGTAACAGCCACCGTACGGTACCATACCTCATTAGTACCGGTACCTGGATTGTCCTAGCGTAACCAGGTCTTGTGACGATGATTATCCATGCGTCTAATGCCACCGTGAATTAAAATACTATATGATTCGGCTTATAACTTTAGAATGCAATTTTGCATTTGTACATTTTGCAGTACCTAATGTACAGTAGCCCACAATATCATAAAACTTTCAACCGTCGCGTAACAGGAGTTTGCAGAGTCAAAATGGAAGACGACCGTCACGCTTGGCAGAATAAAAACGATTGTCATATGTATAAAAGTTAGGATGAACTATCAGATACCATAGGAAATTTAGTGTAGTGCATCTGCCTTTAGTTCTTTATCAACAAGAACCAAGTTTCCATTACAACACTACCTTATTGTAAGAGCCAAACACTTTAAAATTAAGACACCATAAGCAGTAGAAGACCAAGCAGCAAGTAACACAAAACACGTGCAGAGTTAGGACGTCAGCCTCGCAGAGATAAGGTCAAAACATTATGGGTGATTATGCGCCACTTAGCGGTATTACATCATGCATATCACAATTTAGTATATAACATTTAGGAACGATTGAAAAGCAAAAGCTTTCTAGCGGAAACAGCAATCTTTAACCACTGAAAATGTGACAGCAATTGACCCAGTAGTTGAAGGAAAGGGTGATTTGTTAACAACGAGAAAAAAATACTAACTACAACATAGTAGTGTTAACGATCAATAGGTCCATTTTGTGTCCAATAGCAGGATTGAAGCATTTTTAACTTAGATAGGTTAGTCGTAGAAAGAAAGATTTGAATCTCACAAATGTCTGTCGAATTATTATTCTCGGATACTACGAAATGAAAAATAGTAAAGAATATGACTTTGAATATATCATATGAACCGCGGATAAACACGGTTATTGTGAGTCCTATTTTAAAAATTGCCCGAGGCGTCAATAACTTGATATTTATTGTCTTCCCTTGTAAACGACGTTTTAAAATCCACTCAAATAGAGTGGGTCGGCACTTTTAGCAACCATTCCACTAAACGCCTTGCCTGTAATCATTTACATTCATAGTCAAAAGTTGCCCAAATTGGACATTTTCGTATGACAAAAACTTGCATATAGGTCTCCACACTTCTCTTTTGTAAAATACTTTCATGAAATGTAGAATTTTAACCCTGAAATCTGCCTATCGGAGCGGAACATTAGCTTAGAATGAATGCGATCGGAAGTTTGTATCAAACACAACCTACAAATGCCATACATGTGGCTCAGGACGTCACGCTGTTGCAGATTTTCTCCAAATAATCTGATTTCTCTTAATAAAGAATAATAGGTTGTTGATCTAATCATTCTTTTTTTCTGAATGCAACCAATAATTACATGTTCGTTTCAAGTGAATGGGTTATCGCCTCAATTGAATGGGTTATCGCCTCAATTGAATGTATGAAGTAATAATTTTCGTTCGATGCCAACTTAAATAACTTGCACAGGAAGTGTTACATTGTTGATTTCAGCTCTGCTTTCGAAATGAACGGTTTTGTAGGTCGTTGCAGTAACAAGCGAGCTTTAATCGTACTATGGAATAAGTAATCAAATTATTTTTAGAGCCAAACGCAGTAGAATGGAAGTCATAGCTCTGGCAATGTCATTGCAATTAGTAAGTTAATGGAAGTCGTAGCTCTTGTGGTGTTATTATATATGCATCGGGTTAATGAAACAATCGACCATACTTTTTGTATATTTTCGCCATGTACAACTACCATATGAATTCATTCACATAAGGTAGAGGCGTTGGTATACATATCATTAACTAGTATAGTGAGGTATACGTATAGCGAGTATTTAGCATTGTTCCGTTGCATTGACTTTATAATATTGCAGTTATTTGATTTTTTTTATATTTTTTGGATGCAGGGGCGTGGACATGGGTGAAAATTGTACGCTGACATCACAGATTTAAGATTTCATAAGATAAGGAAATGCCTGTGAGTCAAACAGGTGTCGTTTTAAAGACTTTTAACTTCTAAGAAGATAATTTAGAAAGCGTTTAGGAAAACAAACTAAAATGCAATACTTCCAGCAAGACAAAAGTTACGACTCGATTAACTTATGCAATGTACTGAAAAGAGGGTATATGCGTTATCACAATTATGTCATATGACATATGTACTTTTCATGTCACGCTATGCTAGAAAAATTATGACACACCTCAAGTTGATATTAAGTTATTACCCAAGTTCAATTGTTGCTATAAAACGGGGGTGGCCAACGCGTCGACCGGTCGATCGCCACATCTCGAGCAGTCAATCGCGTCTGATGTTGAGTGAATTTTGATAAAATACCCCCCAAAATTGCCTTAAACCGGTTTTGTGTTTTAAAACAGGTGGAACACAGTACTGTCCATGCGCAAAATACAATATACGCATACAGTATTTGAGTCTGGGCAAGCCCGAAGTGCAGCAGTGGCATCAAAAAGCCCAACAATGGGGATTTTTGTATGCGTTTTTTGTATGCGTGTGTGCGATTATGTGCATATTCAGTACCCATTCGTTTTTGTGTAGGACCTTATTACCGATCAGTCGATCGCGAGCTATTTTGAAGATTTTAATTGATCGCGGTCGAAAGCAGGTTGGCCACCCCTGCTATAAAATATTGTGAATTAAGATATAATACAACCTATCTCTTCTGTCTATTTGCATAGCTTATAATTAATACTCAAATCAATAAGCATGCTGACTTTGATATTGTCATACATATCGTTAACAATACTGCTTGTTTTATTGGTGAAATCTCTTCAACGCGTTGTAGAAAGGGGTAGTAAATCAAAGAAACTTTCAAACAAAGCAAAGAGGAAACGCGAAAAAGAACATCAGTACAACGAAAATCAATTGGAAACTTTATCAAAAGACTTGGTAATTTTTTTTAATTTAAAATAACGCTCTAAAATCCATTTTTGTCTTATTTTTTTGTATATTTCAGAATGACAAAATTGTGAAATCAATTACAAATCTAAATGGACCTCAACTAATCGAAAGTGGAAGATTGCACAAAACAAACCCAAGTCTTGTAACCAAAACCTTTTTATTTAAAGTGAGGAGAATTTTTTATTCAATTAGTTAGTTTATTTAACAATGTTGATGCCGTCTGTAAATTCATATATATTGTCAAGAAGTCAGGTAGGGTTACTATGCATGTCTTCTGCGCTTTGAAAATTGTTAAAAAGTCAATATTATTTATAGATATTGTACAAGGAATACGTTGATATATATACATCTATGTATATAGACTACGATGCGTATCCCATTATATGCTTCTAATTTGGAATGCACTAATTTCTCCTCGCTTTTGCTTCATGCTTTCACAGTATATATTGGATCTCCGCTCTAGGAGACCCTTATTCTCAGTCGTTCTGTCTGTCTGTCTATCTGTGTGTTTGGCTGTAGCGTCTGAACACTGTAGCACGCTGTCGTTAGAGATGCAATTTTGCGCAGACGGGACGGTTAACTGCAGCCCGGCCCCTTATGTATCAGAGGAGATCGTGGGCGCCTACCGGCTTGTTTTTCTAGCATTCGATTATTTAACCATTTGCACATAAACAACATAAATAATACATTCTTTGATGAACTAATTTGCAGGCATTGAAAATTACAAAAAAATTGAACTGCATCACTGAAGTTGTGAAAGATTGTTTGACGACTGCTGAAAATTTAGATTCAAAAAACGCATTTGATTTGCCGTTGTACAATGTTCCGGTCACTTTAAAAGAATGCTTCCAAACAAAGGTTACAATTTTATCATTGTTTAAATTTTTGATTGCCCAGTATATATCTTTTCTACCTGGATTTCATTCCTTCTAAGAGTTCTCGAGTAAAGAGCTTGGATGTTTCAGGTTTTTTCCAATGTCAGAATTTTTACCTTTATGAAATCTAAAATTTAGTCCAACAAATGTAAAAAGGCCAAGTCTAACTGCTCAACGAAAATTTGAAAAAAGAATTGATAATATTCTTTGAACAGTCAAGTTTGTGACATCTCTAGCGGGAGGTTCTAAATATACAAAAAGAATGTAATTAGAATATACTAATGACTAAACCTATCCGGAACGATTTGAGTTTAAGTTGGAATATTATTTTAAATAATATAAAGACAAAAAAAAACTCGATATATTTTTTTAGTTAGTCATATAGATATAGATCATCACGGATGATAGTTTATTCAATTAAATAGGTTATAGTTCAACATTTGAGATTTCCTTGCGTCAGGTAAAAACCAGCGTTTGTTCGAACTACCCACAATGACAGTGGATTTCGAGATATCAATTTAAGTTTTCGGTATGATATTTTTCAAATAGGGTTCTGCGAGTACTGTTGGTATATCAAAATTTCTAGACAACATCGCTACAGAAGATTGCGTGCTTGTGAAAGTTTTGAAACATTGTGGAGCGGTTCCGTTTGCAAAAACTAATCTTCCTCAAATGATGCTGAGGTAAATTCCTCCTATCTTCAATGAGAGAAAGTGCCTTTTTTGTTACCCACGGTTAAATTGGAGAATAATGAATAGAGAGAGATCAGTTGTTCAACTTTAGGGTTTTTTGATGCTAAACTGTAAAAACTATAGATTGATTACTCTCGCGTGTAGTAAAATTAATTGTATAAATGCACGGACCTTTTGCATTAGTATGCATCAGGTTACGAAAATATGAAAGTGGGTTTGCGCTATTTCTTCAAAACCTCCTGCGCTTAGGTTCTTGTGTGAAAAGCCATCCTATTAGAATAAATTGACAAGGTATCCAATACTAGCTAACTTATATTATCGAGATTTGAAAAACATACGATTGGTTATGCCAGCGGACATGAGGAAGAAGTGTTGACCTTTTCCCTTAATTCCATAGGCCTACGTGTTTACAAACTTTAAAAATCATAAGATACACATTATCGATCACAAAATTGAGTTTTATTTAAAAGCAGATTCTTTCATGTAAGTGCGCCGGTGAAATTTTTCCCTGTTAATTTGGCGCCGCACGAACAAAAAGTTGGGGGAACCGCTAGGATTTATGCGACTGAAATTGAGCGTTGCCACGCGTTGTTGTCATTTCATATGATTCTGCAGTTACTAAATGTATTTAAGTAAATATAGTTTTTTCATTAACTTAATTTTTGTTTTCATTTATAAGTTTTGAAGCCAGCAATCCCATATATGGAGAGACATCGCATCCCCTTAATCCGAAATTCGGGCCAGGTGGGTCATCTTCGGGCGAAGGATGTATTATCGCTGCTGGAGGTTCTGTACTAGGATTTGGAACTGACACTGGAGGCAGTATAAGAATTCCTGGACATATTTGCGGAATTTGTAGTTTCAAACCGACTATGAATAGACTGAGTCAGTCAGGGATTATAGGTAATTTTTTTGGTGCTTTGAAGTATGTGAACCAAAATGGCGGACACCGGAACGTAGTATGTGTACCGGGTTAAAATTAGACCATAGTTTTATACCAATTTTCCCTTATTTTTGTTCTATTGCGAGTTCGGAAACTAGCCAAGCGACTTCCGTAGTTTTTGTACTTGAAATTATAGCCTAACCCCAACCTGGTACACATACTACGTTCCGGTGTCCACCATCTCGGTTCACATACTTCGGGACTACCATTTTTTGACATTTTTGTGCAAGGTGAATAAATGATAATGAAGATTACGCAATGGGATCCATCTGTTTGAGGAAGGTCATTTCGGAGCCTTTAACAAGGTAAATCCTGTCCACTGCAATCTTTTGGGATTTCAATTTAATATTTTGTATATTATTTCTAACAATTATCATATCATTAAATACCAGTGGCCGCTGGTATAGAGTCTTGTTTGAGGTGAAAAGCGCGAATAATTGTCCTATTAAAGTTACTACCGCAGTAACTTATACAAACCCATAATAAATAAATGCACGTATAGTTAGTAGTCCGTTGAATTGCTTTGTTATCGGTACTTTACTTTATTAAAAATTATGTGTTTAATTTTTTCTGATATATTTAGTGGAGTATAATTTTCACATCCAGGACCTAATGCTATGGCAGCGCTTGCCACCTCTGCTGGGCCAATGGCACGTGATATAGACACTATTGTAATGGCGATGCGTGCACTTTGCTGCGAAAAAATGTTTGAGCTGGATCCACACGTTGTACCGATAAAATTTCGGGATCAGGTCAGACTTTAAAATATGATCTTGATAACAAAACTTTAGGTTTTCTCGCTCACTCGATTCGACGACGTGCTTTTCACACATCTTTTTTCCGTCTCGTGTGCTTGTTGTGTGCGGTCACGTGTAACTTTTTAGGTCACACTTAAATGGCTCTCCGATCTAGGTGGAAAAATTTGGTCCAAAAACCTTGCCCACCCCTGTTATATAACCTAACATCATGCTTCTACGCATGTCACGGTAACTTGTGAACAATTTCTTGTGGTGGCTATATCATAAGGAGATGAAAAAAAATTCCCGAGCAATGCCACATCAATCAATTCCTCCAAAATATTTGTAATCTGTTTTAGATGTATACAAATAAAAAGCCTCTAAGAATCGGATATTTCGATGATGACGGATACATGAAACCAATACCAGCTTGTCAGAGAGCTATCAAAATTACAAAGGAATCATTAGAAGAGGCTGGTCACACATTGGTTCCATATAAGCCATATGAAAAATTAATCATGGAAGATTTAAATTGTGGTCAGTGGAATATTGCAAATTTCAGTTTCTTAATATATTATCAAAATATCAGAACTTCGGTTTCAATTTTCAACGTTAATACATATTCTCGAACCGATGCATATATTTCAGTTCAATCAGAAAAGGCGTATGTTTCGTTTCAAACTTGCATCGTTGTTCACACTCTTATGATAAAACTTTGTCTTTTATATTTAGCTGGATTTGCAGATGGAGGCGAATCATTCATGGAACTACTAGAAAATGATGCTGTAGACGTATCAATAAAGTTATATCATTCGATTTGGACCACTCCCTGGATCTTCAGGAAGATATATGCATATTTCCTTAGTTTCAAGGTGTTATATTTCTTTCAAATCAGTTTATGGTTATCTTAAGAATAACTAATATAATATACACTTTTTCCGTTATCTACTAGGATATCTGCACTTTTCAATGAAAAAATTACGTTTAGTGGTGCCGACGGCGGAACTGCTATTTCAATAGTATAGTTTAAGATGCCTCATTGGCCGTGATGATCTTTTGGACAGTGCAACAATAATCTTGAATGCGCTAAATTTTTTCAAACTTTTATTTTTACTGACTAGTACCCGAGAATTGCTAAAAATTACGAAGCTTACTATGGCAAAGGCGATACGACTGTTAATAAATTATGGAAGATGCGAGGAAAGATAGAACAATACAAATCGGAATTTTGGAAGGAATGGAGAGAAAAATATAAAATCGATGCTTTGATTTGTCCAGTTTCTCCAATTGTTGCCAGTCCTAAAGGAAATCTGTCAAATTTGACTGGTAAGGAAATCGTTCACAAACGTGTTATTATTTTCCGCTTCTTATTTCTGAATTATAGCTTTGGGATGAGCTTAAATTGTCTCTCAAATCGCATTTTAAAGTTCTCTTTTTAATTTGTTCTGCATGCATCATTATGCATAAATTTACTAGATTAAATTCTACCCTGAATTAGCACAAAGCTCTAAAACTTCAGTATCTTTCTACCGCGGGTCCGTTTTCAATTCCAACTTTGTGCCCTTATATCTAAGTTTACAATTACAAAACATATGAAGAAACGTATGAATCAATATTTGCTTTCATGAATAACTGATGTTCTCCGCAGCAATGGGATCATACACTGCTGTTTTCAATCTTGTGAACGGTCCTGCAGGAACTGTTCCAGTAACTCGCGTTACACAGGAAGATGTTGATGATTTACAAACGTACAAAGACCATTATGAAGATTCATTATCGGAGCTTGTTAAAAATGTATGACGCTTATTATTACTCAAAATAAAAAAATTTCAGTTGGCGAGTACAAAATAGGAAACATAAATTAGTCCCTGTATACATGGTTTAATCAAAAACAACAAGTTATTTCAATATTCTGATTCATCGAATCGCTCCTGCGTTGAGTCTACATTTCATGATCCGTTAAAATTTTCATCACACAAACACATGCGCGTTTATAAGCGGGATCATTGAGTCTTAGATATTAAATTAAAAAGCTAAACTGAATAACGCTTACTGCATAGTGTATTTGATAAATTTCTGTTCCTTTTCAACAAAAATGTTTTCATTCCAGGCGTGTTCGGGAAGCATTAATATGCCGGTTAGTGTTCAATGCGCAAGTTATCCATTCAGAGAAGAAGTTTGTCTTCGTTTGATGAAAGAAGTTGAAAGCTTGCTTCCTATGAAAAACGATTCGTGATTACTTGGCAATAAAGTGATTGGAAAATCTTTTTTGGAAAAATAGATTCATGTTCGTCATAGACATGACCTGTTACTTGAAATTCGTTATTGGGGATTTATAAATATATCAGAATAAAGTAGAATTCTGTAGTTTTGTTTTGTTACGAATATGTGGACGACTAATTTTGAACGTACTAATAAAAAATGTGGAATGAAATTACACAATACAACTCAGGTCCCATTCAATTGCTTGTAATTGTTGCCGCAAAAATGGAATAAACATCATGTTGGCTTTTTTTCGAGAGTGCGCTTCCATAAATTTCAGAAATATTTTTGTGGTCCATATCCAGAACAGCATATTGATCACACATTTCACCGGCTAACTCTCGCCGAATTTGGCTTCACTATTCACTCATATTTGATCTGCATTATAAAATGGGCGCCCAGAAGTATGTGTACCAATATGAAGGTAACTAATTTTGTTCGCCTATTTTACATTAATCGTTTAAAGAGACTGGAACCTATGGGTAATAACCTGGTACACACACTAAGGAAGTAACATAAATGACTACGTTCCATAAATATTGTTTTTTCTCGAGTCGGGAAATACTTATTTGACGATTGCATTTGCATATATTATGTACTTTCACGTTTGAAGATTTTAACATCGTCATGGTTACAGAATATTTTTTATACTTTCCTGGTGGTTTAGTTGAGTTAATAAAATGTCAAATTGTTTCAATTGCAACAATTGCAGAACAATTTATTCGATGTAATTGCATGATAGCGTTTCCGCGCTCGTATAGATAACCAACTAACTTGAAAACAGCTAACATTTTTACCTGATTGTATGCTTAGCGTCATAGAAGATGTGACATTTCAAGCAAATGATTAGAGTAAATAAATAGAATAGAGTTAGGTTCGTCATAAAGTTGACTGGGTCGTTTATCAGATGAGACATGTACATGAGGATATATGCTTATTTAACACATATATATTCAAACTCATAGAAACAGCGCTTGTGTTATTTTTGAAAACATATATCTTTTATATATGGCATAATCTTTGACGCAATGCCCAATGATTTTTGCATAAAAAATTAGTTATCGGTGATGCTATTTAGCTCATTATTCAGTAGTGGTATTCCGACATCGTCCGATTCTAATCCCATCGGCAATGTTAAAATTAAGATTTCTGCTGCAGATATATCGAAATATGAAAATAAGAATGAATATTAATTCTATATTGTTAGTTCTAAATCCAGATGCTGCACGAGAAAAAATCAGTATGCGACCAGAGTAGTTTATACATTTTTTGCTGTTAAAATGAACATAAACCAAGTGAAGTATGGAAAATGTTTGTAAAAGTATGACTTGTTCCGCGCTAATGATTCGACAAGACAGCCAACGACGTTACGTCAGTTGTTTATTCTTTGGAAAGTCGTCTCTGATCGAACTAGCAAAGTCATTTTCCTGTTCGCCGATTTTGAAGAGCGGCGGGTTATTGCTGCATAGCATTCTGTAAGGAATATTCAGGTTTTTTAAAAACAGCTGTAGGATAATCAAGTGAAGTTCGACTGTTACCGACAGTTAGAAAATAAAATATATATTTATTGTCTTTTTCCTCGTTAAGCTCCAGTAATATACATTTCAGTTCTGACTTGAACTTCCTTCAGACAGTTCAAACAAAATTTAATTACAACAAACTCGAGAAAATTTCATCAATTTACTGGCGCAATAGTCTTCATGATCAACTGTTGCATCAGAAATCCTAAAAATCAAAAATTGCCGTAGCTCGGGGCGTTGTTAAATACTTTTGTCTGTTCTTTTGTGATTCTGAAAAAATACATCTTTGTTTAATTATGCAAAATGCAAAGACGGAAGAATTTTGTTGTAGACAAATGGAAATACAACAGCGCGCCTTTAACGATACAATTTTAGTCTTCATTGGAATTTTGTTGTAGACAAATGGAAATACAACACCGCGCTTTTAACGATACAATTTTAGTCTTCATGTTCAACTGTTGCATCAGAAATCCTTAAAATCAAAAATTGCCGTAGCTCGGGGCGTTGTTAAATACTTTTGTCTGTTCTTTTGTGATTCTGAAAAAATACATCTTTGTTTAATTATGCAAAATGCAAAGACGGAAGAATTTTGTTGTAGACAAATGAAAATACAACAGCGCGCTTTTAACGATACAATTTTAGTCTTCAATAGAATTTTGTTGTAGACAAATGGAAATACAACACCGCGCATTAACGATACAATCTTAGTCTTGATGTTCAACTGTTGCATCAGAAATCCTAAAAATCAAAAATTGCCGTAGCTCGGGGCGTTGTTAAATACTTTTGTCTGTTCTTTTGTGATTCTGAAAAAATACATCTTTGTTTAATTATGCAAAATGCAAAGACGGAAGAATTTTGTTGTAGACAAATGGAAATACAACAGCGCGCTTTTAACGATACAATTTTAGTCTTCATTGGAATTTTGTTGTAGACAAATGGAAATACAACACCGCGGTTTTAACGATACAATCTTAGTCTTGATGTTCAACTGTTGCATCAGAAATCCTAAAAACCAAAATTGTCGTAGCTCGGGGCGTTGTTTGGCTGTAGATCTTTGAATAACACACTCACCTTCTTTATTGACAAGTAACAACAAAAATAGCACCAGGATATTGTGTATTGGACTGCAACAACAAAAAAACGGATACGGTTCGTTAGGGCAGCTTTCTGTTTCTCACGCGTTCCCGTTGAAGTTGGTTGAATAATTACTAAGTACGATGCACTATAAAGAATTTTTCAATTCTAAGCGGCAAAATTACCTATTTTTACGAATAGATTAGCCAAGTTTTGTTGAATGCTAAGCTTTAATCCTAATCGGTAAGCCCAGTTGTGCGTTACTGCAGCAGAAGCGAAATCTAAAAACAGTGAGAGTAATACCTCAAATCCAACGTTGCGCTTGAGCTTATATTCAATCAAGTAACGGCTTGATCTACACATCTCTGAGATCCAAGTTTTGACCTAAAACTAAAACTCTCAGGTACTTTATTCACAATCACTTATAAATAAATATATATATATATATATGGGGGTAGGGATTTCAATTTGGAGCGTGCTCCGGTGCAGCAATGTCTGCCGTTTGCAATTCAATATAACTTTTTATTGAACCGTCTTCTATTTTAATAGGAATAATACAAAAATGATTTTTGAAATACCATCTCAATGTGTGCCTTGTATGTTGCTGGCATTAGTAGTGCTAATATGCGCCAAGCTACTTCAGTACGTTGCTCATATTGGAAGATCAAAATCTCTTCGAGATAGAGCAACCAAAAAACGAGAGAAAGAGCAAGCATTTATTCAGCGACAACTGGGCACCATTTGTAAAGAGCTGGTGAGTTTTGACCTCTGTGCCGCTTTCGTCGTTCGTCGTATTCATTCAACCATTTGCACCAACTTTACTATGTCACGATACACTGTAATATTGCATGATAGCTGACAGATATATTTCAAAACGAGATTCGATTCCATGTGAAAAGCGTTGTTTTGAACAGCCACGATTATCCCAATGCATTATGGCGTCTTTGCAACGCACCGCATACAAGAAAATATCTAGTCCCATTAATATAAAAAAAGTTTAGACTCTAAACTAAAATGCGAATGAAATATTCAAAAATGATATCACCATTTGCAACACGTTCACCCTGTCTCATAAGTTGCGTGCTATTTGAGTTGGCTTAGCTAAAAACTTATATCATCATCATAGGCGACTGTCATAATGATAAACTTATTATCTCTGAACAATTACAGTTTTCCAATATGTAGTAAAATTAAGAATAATGATTACACCAGGACTTTTGTTCAAGTCAATGCGATATTGTGCGAAAAAATAAAATTGATATTTTCCGCATAATCGCAGATGAAACCTCTTATTCACTGCCGACGGCGTGATCTGGCGATGAATTGCACAAATATTCTACATTGGTTTTTGAAATTAAACAATAAACACTAAGGCAAATTTAGGATATATAGATAAGGTTGGCTCTACATAACTATTGAGTATAATATCGGAAATTGACACACATTTACTATTGTTTGCCAATTTTCCAGAGCGAAGAAAAAGTTAAATCTGTTCTCAGTTTGAATGGACCCCAACTTGTAGACGAAATTAAAGGAAAGCAATTGAGTCCTAGTCTGGCAACAAAAATTTATGTTTACAATGTAAGTAATTATATTTTTTTCATGATAAATATTTTCAAAGTGATTTGACAACATTTCATTTTAGTTCTATTACCTAAAATTTTCGAAAATATGAATGATTTTTCGTTTTGTAATATTTTGCAGGCATGTAAAGTTACCAAAAAACTGAATTGCATCACTGAAATAATAAAAGATTATGCTGAAACTGCAGAGAAACTGGAAGCAAAAAATGCAACTGATTTGCCTTTGTATGGACTTCCTGTCAGCATTAAGGAATGCCTTGAAACGAAGGTACAACAATATTACTGCTCAACACGTTTTGATCCATTCACAAATGTTAAACAATCATATTAGAGGGTACAAGCCAAGTTTCAATACAATAACTTCGAAAGCTGTCACATATCCACTCTACATCTTCATTCGTGCGTGAACGTTTAGCATGACTAGAGAAACGACGGATTCGTTTGTATAAAAAATTTGATTGGTGTGTTTTGCCCTAATATGAAGACATTCGATTTGTACTTTTTGCACATTCAAGAGCTGCCCTAATTGTCCATACTTAGCTGAAGTGGTGTCCATGAGCAATAGGACAAAGCGAATCAACAAATGTTACAGGCAAGAAGTACTTCAAAGCATAAATAAAAACAAGTAACATTTCAATGGGAAAGAATTGTTTGGGTAAGAAGTGTGCGTAATTTACGTTACTTATTTGAATTACAGGGAGCTCCAAGTACTGTTGGAATTGCATCATACTTAGACAATATTGCCACAAGTGATTGTGTATTGGCGCAAGTGTTGAAACATTGTGGAGCTGTACCATTCGCAAAAACAAATTTTTCACAGATGATTTTGAGGTATAGTGCGATAATTATATAACATTAAATAATCTTGAAAGTAAAAACACTACAATTATCTAAAAAACTTATAATTAGTTGAGATACCACATTTTTCCTCACTTTAACAGGCAATAAGTACCCATACATAACTTATTATCGTGTCGCAAAAAAAAACAAACAGACATATGTCTAAATCTTCAAAATAAATTCCTCAAATAAAATTTAATTCAATATCATAGAAATTTATTTTTAGTCCAAGAGGATTTTGGTAATTCAACTACTAAACGTTACATTTGAATGCCATAACTATGCTAACAAATATACACTAACAATTTTATACTAAGCTCTACGTGAAAGTAACAAAATTTTACATTAATTTCTCATGGTTTCCGTCTTTTGTAACATGTCACATTTGAAAAATCTGACGTTGCCACAAATAGCCGTTTTGTAACATGTGAAATACACTAGAAGTGTAACTTTAATAATTATAAATTAGTAATTTCACAGTTTCGAAAGCAGTAACCCAATTTTTGGGGAAACGTCCAATCCTCGAAACCCAGATTTTGGTCCAGGTGGTTCGTCATCGGGAGAAGGAAGCATAGTTGGTTCCGGAGCTTCAGTACTTGGCTTTGGTACTGATACTGGTGGAAGTATTCGAGGACCATCTCATTTGTGTGGAATATGTGGATTCAAGCCTACATTGAATCGTTTAAGTCATTCGGGACTTGTTCGTAAGTGATTTTGTTACGCGAGTCTATCCTAATGAAGAAATGTTGCGCCGCTATGCTTATTCCAGAGTTATTAATATGTACCGTTTTCTTCTGAACTTTCGGAACGTCTTCGAAAAAAGTTTTATGTCGTCAAACTTTGTTGGTTGGGAGTTGTCACTCCATTACTGCCAGTCTACCAACCAGACTTCTAGCGTCAATCGGTATTTACTGACGAGCAATTCTAAACTCAATCAATCAATTATAATCAATTTATAGTCTTTGTAGCTATTGACATTTTGGTGGCCGCCGGTAACTTAGCTCAGAGATCAATCTCTTATTATATTTTTAGTGAATGCATGCTGCGTTGATTTTGACAAATTTTCTTATAAAAGGTTCATGCATGTATTGTTTCCCCCAGCAGTACACACAAATTCGCGTATCTTCTGAGGTAGGCGAATTCAATGCTCAACTGTGTCGTATAAAGTATAAACGACAGTTATTTACAACTTCACACAATATAGTGTCTTACTGACGTCCCAAGACAATTCCTCGGTAAACACACAAAATTCCTGGAAAGATGAGACATTTCTATTTTGGAATTTACCATCTAAGCTTGTTACTATTCCCTTGTGTTCGTTCAGCTCCTTATTGCATGACATCAGTCACTGCCACCGTGGGACCAATGGCACGTGATGTTGACACAATTGTGATGGCGATGCGAGCACTGTGCTGCGATAAAATGTTTGAGTTGGACCCCCATGTTATCCCTGTAAAATTTCGAGACGAGGTGATTTAAATTTTAAATTGAATCCTACTTTGTATATTAATTTTCTAATCCAATCTGAAATACAACATTCTTGTACCTCTTGTACAACTAAACAGATGAATTTACTTTCTATTTGAAGATGTACAACAATAAAAAACCTTTGAGGATTGGATATTTCTATGACAATGGTTATGTAAAACCAGTGCCTGCTTGTCAAAGAGTCGTGAAAATGGCTAAAGAGGCACTGGAGAAAGCCGGGCACACCTTGGTTTCATATACGGTACCAGATATTGAAGACATTATGGATGCTGCTTCAACGGGTTTGTAATATATACTTACGCTTTAAATGCATTCGTAACCATTGCAAATGTAATATTCATTTCTTATTAACATGCAGTAAAAGCTGTAGTGTTAAGTCTTGAAATTTTAGAAAAATGACAAGATGTATTCACATTGTGACCTACAAAATAACATGCATCACGACATCCTGATTTCGACTATTTTTCAAAATGTGTGAAAGTAAATCACAAAATGTCTCTGATTACCATTGAACTAAAATATAAACTATTTTCCCACCGGGCCAGACTCATTTACATTTTAATTTTTCGTAGCTGTATTTGCTGATAGCGGGGAAACATGCGTTAGATTGCTCAAGATGATATTGTTGATGATTGTTTGATGCATTTGTATACCAGATGGACAATGCCATGGATAGTCAGAAAAATCTATGCTTTCCTTCTGAGCCTGAAAGTTTGTGAAAATAAACTATTAATAAATATTATTAGAATATATAGAATAAAAATCAATGTAAAATTTCCTAATTATAACGACACTTTTCTGTATGGATGTTCTGACCCCAAACTGATTTTATCCTTTTTTTGAAAAGACAGCTCTTTGCTCTTTAATGTTACTGTTTGACAATTCATTGGAAAAAGGACAAACGATTATAGTCGAACTTGATCATTTCTTATATCCGTGCCGATTTCACGGAGAAGTGAAATGTCGCAAGGTACCACCAAGTAAATTCAGTTGACCGCAAACTACGGAAAACGTATATAGGCGACTGTCATAATGATAAACTTATCAAAGTAACGTTCTAAAGGATGAAAAACGTTATGTAATGACCAAAAACGTCTATTTAAGCCCGTGGTTTCCAAACCGCGGGCCACTTACGGCCCGCGTAACGATTCAATATGGCCCGCAAAACTTGACTAAAATAGTTCTACACTATGTTTTACTCTGTTACGTCATTATCACAGTTAAAGCACGTGCATATTCGTATAACGATTGGTCCTTGTGGTCGCTCCCCACTCCTGACCCGCGAATATTCAACCGCTTTTAATTTTGGCCCAGTAAATCAACTTTGGGTGGGAACTACTGATTTAAGCAGTAATCACAAGATTTTCTTCAGTCCCCAAGAATGGCTAAAGATCTCATGGCTTACGGTGGAGGAGGAGACACAAGCACATACAATTTATGGCAAGTTCGCATGAAAATAGAAATGTACAAAGCTAAGTTTTGGTCCGAATGGAGAGAAAAATACAAAATCGATGCTGTGATATGCCCCACTTATCCCCTGGTTGCCTGCAAAAAAGGAAACCTAGTAAACACAACAGGTATGTTAGATAACAAAGCAGTCAATTCAAAATGACAGGCAACATTTTATAAAATAAATTATTTGCCACAATGTCAAACGTAGAGATGTTTGTAGACTATGTATACATTTAAAGAAACTATATTGAAGCATTATTTAAAATTGAAGTTTATTTTTAAATTAAATATTTTTTTCAACAACAAAAACAACGACAAAAAAGCCTTTTGAATTAGAACCTATTTATACTTTTAGTCAAAATACCCTGACATAAAATAACTCCACGTGAGACTTGCTGCACATTAACACAAATGTATTTCTATAAGGTTTTATCTGACTAAGGTCAGACTTCTTCAGATGAGCATATTTCAACTATATATAGCTATAGAAGATACTATTTGTCATGAAAAAACCTTACAGAAATACATCAGTATTATTGTGCAACTCAACTCTTGAATCACATAGAATAGTTTTCTGTATTCTAACCACAACATCTTTGCATTATATACTATACGTATGAAACCAGCCTGAGGTAGGTTGTTAGGCTGTTACTCTATACTTGTATTTTTTTTTCATTCAATCGTAGGATTGATGACTTACACCGTTTTGTTCAACACTGTAAACGGACCGGCAGGAACAGTTCCTGTATCAAAAGTTACTCAGAAAGATATTGACGACCTCAAGGACTTTCAAGGTCATTATGGAGACGATTGGGATGAACATAATAAAAAGGTTTTGAATCATAATTTTAGTAAATTTAATTCATTTGATTGAACATAGTTCTAATTATTTTATAGGCTTAACGGTTGACGATCGAAGTTAATAACAAAAAAAAAAGACTTTTTCCGATGTAACGTTAATAAACCCGCGTGGGTTCAATGTTAGAAATCTAGTTCGAATAAGTGTATGAAAGAGTGCCGGATGAGTATTACGCCTCCTCCAAGAAAAATGTTTATGCATCTGGAACGTTCAAATATTTATTCCCGTGCTTGTCAGTTTTTTTTTTACGAAAACGGTTGTTTAATCAGTCGTCATGTACAATTCTGGTCATAGACGCTCAAACTGCAATATATATAATTTAGAATTTACGTCAATTCTGTGATATTTTTGTGCACCTGTAGCAAATATGTAGGTTTTGTCAAAATAATACCCAATTAAAGGTATTGGTTCGTTTCAAATATTCGTGTAGGGTTTTAAAAGCATTAGGTTTCACACAATCGCTCCAAACGTTAGGGTTTACAAACAACTTCTAGGTAGGCTATGGAGATGATAATGCCTAAACTTTTATTTGTCAATATATACGCCAAAAAAGCCCCAAATTGTTTTGCCAGGATTTAATCAATTAACCAGCGTCCTACCTCTGCCTTTCAGCATAATGAGGACGACTTCGTATAATAGTAATTCTAGCGCGTATTTTCTGTTTTGTCAGTCAACTAAATGTACGTTTAACAGGCAACACTACAGAGCATCAACATGCCCATTGGAGTGCAATGCGCAAGTTATCCATTCAAAGAGGAAGTTTGTCTTCGCTTGATGAAGGAAGTTGAAACTTTGCTTCCTATGAAGAAAGATCAGTAACACAATTGATCGTTGCCAACCAATATGAATAAAACGAACTGTAACCTGTTTTCCTTGTACAAATTAATGATAAAAAGTTCTTAGTGTTTCCCTTTTTCAAAAAATAAAACATGCGTTGTATTAAATCAGATGAGCATTTTAATGCAATTCTAAGACCTTATCTATCAATATATATATATATGAATATGTGATAAACTTTACTAGTTCTTGTTTTCTGTAATCGTGATAACACCAACGGAAAACTATTTTTGCTACTGTTTGACAAATTTTCTTACATAGATTGGCTTAGTATACTAATATACCCCACGCAATTTCATTTCTCCTGTATGTAAATGTAATAAAGTGTATATGAGAAAGTGGTCTTCTTGTATCACATAATATGTTTATGTAATCATTTTTTAATCGATTCGATTAAGCTTAATGTGTCAGTGCCAGATCAGAGAGAATTGTCATAATCGAATTGAAACATTTAGAGATCTCAATACGACTAGATTTATAGATTTATTTAACTCATTTTAATGTTCGATTCACACAAAATATTCTTATTTAAATAGTGTAATAGCCTTTCTAAGATAATATTGAAGAATTGTTTAACTTCGGGAAACCAATTTGTGTGAATTTCGATTTCGATTTGTCTTTTGCAATTCATTTACAAAATGTCATGATCTCACGGCTTGCAATATTCACCAAGAGCTGCAATACTCGCTACACTACATGAGTGATGTTCTGCAACAAGGTCGCAACCGTCATGACCGCAAGATGTCGTACAACTGAAAATAATTTCAGTTCACCCTATGACAGAGATACAACAATGTTTGACCGTGTGACCCCCGCATTTGTGTGATATTGTCGCCTTGTATTTATTTATTGCACGAGACCAGGGGTGGGCAATTACTTTCCTGAGTGGGCCAGGTACGAATAACAGACAGACTTGGTTACTGGATCAAAGACTCATTACTCAATATGAATAAAAAACTGTTAATTTGCAAATACCCAGACACAATGATTAATGGGACTGATGTAGTCTACTACATGCGTCCAAAATCTTGTTTGAATCAGTCACAAAGCTGCTTGTGCTGATTCTTAAGACAGCTTGTGGGTTTGAATCCGTTAAAAGAAGTCTGTTTTTGCTTTCGTTTATTCCATATTTGTAAAAGTTTGAAACATATTTATGTTGATGCAAACATCACAAACCTTTTTCTTGCAAAATCTTCCACATTTTTAAATTTTCCTGGATGAAACGATTCATAAAACTCAATCAAAGATTCCGCTTCAAAATTGCTCTTCGAAGCATTGCCAGTTCGGAGATCTACGACTTTCACCGGTAACTCATCAGCAACTGTTTCAACATCATATGATAATAAGAACTTCCGTAAATCAAATTCATGCTCCATAGCATTAAAAACAGAAAATCTTCTGGAAAATTCTTCTCTCAGACCTGTGATAAGTTCAATGTACTTTATTGCAGATATAACGTCAACAGACTTTTCAAGAGAGGAAAGTGCGCAAACCTTTCATTGGATATTTGTTTTGCAAGAAGTTTTAACTTTGCTTAAAATGATTTAACCTCCAAATGTAAAACCTGAGCAAACACTCCTTTTCCTCGGAGTTTTTTATTGAGTTCATTCATATTTTGCATAATACCCGTAGCAAATGGAAAATTAAACATCCATTCTGTATTCTGTGCTTTGATAGAGTAGTCAGAGACTACATCTTTTATTAAAAAAAACACGACAATCTCTTCTTTGAGTTCCCAAACTCTTTTTAACACGGTCGGAGAAATCGTAAGCTTGTACTACTTGAGTCATAACATGTTTGAAATCTAACCAGGACTTGGCAAGACCTCCCTGATGTATTATACAGTGAAATGATAGACTTTTATGAAGTGAGTAATCAGCTTGAATCTTGTCATTTATTCTTTTGATAAGTTCAGAATGTCTCCCGCAATGAAGGCGCACCATCTGTTGTTATACTCACGACCTTACCAAGGCATAACTGGAACTTTTCTAAAGCGTGCATAACACTGTCGAATATATCTTACTCTGTGGTAGTCGGTGCCTTTTCGACTCTCCGTGGACAACAATTCTTCTGTTATGCAAAATGTTCGTCAATTCCCGATAAAAATCAGCGACTGCGCTGTGTCAAATACATCTGTACTTTCGTATGGAGAGATTGAGGAACATTTGAATGTATTTGCAGTAATAAACGAATTTTCTCGCAAGTTGATAGCAATGGCTTCTATTCTACAAACGCTAGTTGTCCTTGACATGGGAATTGCTCGATTCTTGACTTCACTTCTGGACACAAAATGTTGATAGCGTCAACTGAGCAGTCTTTCACAGATTGTGCATGGGTAGATGAAAACGCTGTTTGCGTTTCGGCTCTTCAACCATATCTGCTTTCTCGATTTTCAGTTTTTGTGACGGATATTGTTGGCCAAAGTCAAATTTTCTCCACAAAATGTCTCTTCATATTATATTCTTTGAACACCGCACACGTTTCATTACAAATTGAGCAGGCAGCTTTTGATTGACCAGTGTCTATAAAAAATACTTCTGTGTCCATTCCTTGATAGAATTGATAAAACACGACATTCGGAATCCACTTCGGAGTTTTTTATTCATACTGATGGATTTATTACAGGGGATGCCAAATAACGGTAGCTGAGAAAGCAGATTATAGAGAGGAAGTTGTAAAAAAGAGGCAAATATATAACCTATAGACCTATATAACCTATACCTATATAGAGGTTTCAAAGTTGCATACCTCTTACGGGATGCGAAAGCCGCTAAACCGGCTTTCAGCGTCAGAAGACTTTCTCGGGAAAGCCGGTTTAGCGGCTTTCAGGGTTCAAAGAGTTAACAGCTTGGCAAACGTTTTTATAATAAACAGCCTAATGCAACAATTGGAGTCATTATAACGATATAATTGTCTGACTCTAAACAGATAAAGTCTATTACAAAGAGTAAGTTTCAAATCAATTTATAAAATTTTTCCAATGTGATTATTAGTTTAAAACTGCACAATTATACACAGAAGGTCGATGTTGTGTAAACAAAAACGAGAAAATTAGGCATGAAGTGTTATAGTCAGTTCTGATACCTATTATGCATGCATGATGTAATGTTGAAATGAAAGTGATTGCTTTGAATCTTTTGATAGATATATATATAGACCACCCATCATGCTTTGTCGTCGGCACATAAGAAATACATATGCAGGAAAGAAACGCCAAACTTGACTAATCGAAAAAAGGTTTTGAGATTTTTTTAAACAGTGATATCTAATGGCATAAGATTGGCGGAGGACAATTAGTATTATGATATAATGGTTTATCTCAGCAAATTCAATTGCTCCCACTTTCAATAAAATCTTATAGGTAGATCATATTCTCATAAAAAAAATATGTATTATAATATTCTGAAACTGTAATATTGGATAATCTCTTAACATATAATATGCACCTAGTATTGTAGTCAATCGACTTCTTGTAACAATAGAACAGGGTTTGATTGCATGGTAAGCAAATAGACAGGTATCCGTTCTTTTTCCAAAATTTATTTGTCGTATCCATGATATGCGGAATCAGTAAAAGTGATAGCAACTTTCAAATATTTTTGATATCTATTTCATTTAAAAATTGAGTGTAAATACAGTATAGCTATTAACTACAAGGCTTGTTGGGAAATTGATCTAATTTTTGGTATGAAAATGCATCAATTACCTGAAAATTCAACTTATTTTGCAATATTATTTTTAGCATAGAATTGGGATAAAACGTCGTGATATTTGGATATAATGAAGAATGGCCCCACTTTTGTTCGCGACCTGTCAAAAACTAAGTGTTATTTTTCGGATAAAAGGGGTAAGCCTTGAATAATAGTTGTCAGTTGACGGATTTAGGTGGGCGATTGTACTGATCAAATAACAACTGTATTCAGCTGATGGTCGATAGGATTTAAATAAATTGAGGTATTGTAACAGTGAAAAACGGTGAGAGTGCATATTTTCAGAAAAATTTTTTTTATAGAAAAAGATACTAAAATACAGTAATTATTTACAATAATAAATCTTGCACAATAGTTATAAAAACTTTTTAGATGGTAAAATTGAAATTTATGGTAAAATTAAAATGGAAGGAAGTGTAAGGTACGTTGCATATTTCAGCGTAATACGTAAACTTAACAGTATGAGAAAGTCATTGTATTTAAAAATTTATACTTTTTTCATGATGGACAGACGTTTCGAAAGCATTTGGTTTCAAATTGAAAGTATGTTTGAAATACTATCGCTTATTTATAACACTTTTCAAGAAAAATTTTGAAGATAACTTATCTCGGCATGTTAAAAAGTAACCAGGTCAAGATGATAAGTCACGGGTCAAAGATCAATCTCAATTACAAATTCAATCTTAACCGCATCTAGCCGAGGTAAATCTTTTATCCATCTACCTGTCAAAGTTATGTAGCAGTGGATCATGTACACTTAGTTTGAACTAAACTCGAGCTTATTTGAAATCCTTGGCTTAACCCTTTAATATAGCATATCGTAGAGATTCAATTGGTATTTTTAGCAGATTGCAAAAACCTATATACCGTAAGTTCATACCCAATGAAGATCAGCTGAAAGGGGGGTGACATAATTGCAATGTTCGTATTATATTTGTTATTCTATTGCTATATGGATGAATAAAAAGGTGTTGATTTTCATATTTTGTCGCATATTTCATCAGTAGGATCTATAATAAGCAAGAAAGTTACTCGTAGAAGCGTTACATAGTGATGCATATTGCTGCTGGACCATAATATGGTACGCGCATATCAATATTGTAAACCAGTCAACATATTCATATCCGGATATTTAATATGTTCAACCTCAAAAGTCATAAATAGAGAACATAAAACTTATTTAAAAATAAATGACACGGTGACAAATAATGGTCACGCTATGTTCAACCTTGAAATATCATTTTATGGGATGGCAATAACCACATAAAAGATATCCGATAGTGTGTCATAAATATTAATTGTTCAGTCTCCAATATTCCTGCCCAACGGGACAAACTAGTAACGTAAAACAATGTTAGGACTTGCGTAACTAGGCCAGGTTTAACAGAATTTCTGCGACTTTTGAACTGAGTGTGACATTGGGGCGTATCTGCCAATAGCTCACACTAAATCAGAATTCACTGCAATGTAATCGCACTGCGCTGACTTTAATCTTGATATTCAAAAGCGTTGCTTTATTGGTGATTGAAATATAATCCAATTCTGAAATGTTACCATATGTCCTCTAAAATTCATGTTGATTCCACCCCGTTTGCCATTTATTTTGTAACGTCACATTGAAGACCGAAGTTGATTTGACAAACTTCTAATCTTTGAACGAGTATGACTAGGCGCGGAATGTGCCATCGTGACACAATAGTTCAATATTTATTTCGCGGTTTTTATGGCCACTTATTTTGCACGGAACACCTGACAATGTAAATGTATGGTGTGTTCACAATATGCTGGATGGTTTACTGTTTGTTAATCGCTTTAGTTCTGCGTTAAGGTATATGTGTGCTGAGCCATTTACAATTAAAAAGAACTAGCGGTTGGAAGCCACTGTGTTGAACGAAGTCAAATGTGGTAAATCGTAGTCAATTAGAAGTGGCTTGCTGGCGATTATGTATTAGGTACGATATACTATAATACATAGTAGATTTGAAATTAACATAGCAATTTAGTTTGAAAAACAATAAAAGTCAAATTTGGCTATAGGCGAATGAATATGTTCGTTAATTATTCATTGCAATTGTTGGTGCTATCTAAACTCTCTGAAAACTTTCATTTCATCTTAGCTTGCAATACCCATCAATTTTAAACCACATGGGTGATGAATGTGTAAAAATAGGAACTTCATTGTAATAATATTCACCATATACTTAATAGACCCAATTCATCATAACGAGAGAGTAATGATGCGAAGCATATCACTTCTTAGTTCAAAGAGAGGTAAAGGACAGAAAAATAGTTTAAAATTTAACGAAGAATAGTCATTTTCTTATTCCATTACAAGTAATGCATAAATTCAATCACTCTAAACAAAACCCGAATTTTTCCGGACGGAGTGTTTTCTAATTTGAAAGTAATTTAATTTAATTTTAACTAATTTGAAAGCTGTTCATTATACTTCTTTCTCGTGCTGAGTGCAACGATGATTTATTCAAATCTCCAACCTGCTCGATGACGTATATAAGAGAAATTATAATTTAATAAAATTTTTCCGTAAGGAGTAAATGATTGCATTTGAATAAATTAAGTTTAAAATTTTTCAAGTCTGTTTGCTGTGTTTCTGTCTCTTCTTCAGGCGAAATACGTATTTGTCAAAATTAATTTTTAATATGTAAATTTTGATCAGATAACAGAAAATCAAATCAAATGTTCGAATTATGTATTACAGTTCCAAATGAACTATTCAGCATCTCCAATGATAAAACAATAAATCGAAATAATTATTTGATTCAATTTCTGCCCTTGCTTGATAAACTCCACAAGTATATTTCTTTAGTCTAAAATGGACACAAATTATGGAAAAATACGTAAACATTACTGATGGTTATCACAGCGAATAACTCTATTATTTGTAAATAGACAATCTATAGATAGCAAATTATTTCTTGTATTAGCAAAAAATAAGGTTTGTCGAACGTTTTTCTCTAAAAGTCAAGTTATGTTATTCAACATTATACGATGAAAATGATAAGACGTATTGAGATAATATTTTTTCGTTCAAACATGATTCTTCTATATACTTGGCAAAAAAATATCTTCGTTTAGTTTTTATGGAATGCTGGAAAAATTTGCAACGTTTTGCAATATTACGTAAAGGACTGGGTCGCACGACTGCGACCTACGATGCATGTTAACTTTTGATCGATGACGGATTAATTTCTGCTGCTTTAAATTTAGATGAATATGTTTTCGAGACAAAATAATTCAATTTAGTTCTTAAGTCAGACCTCCCACGTCACACAAATGATAAAATATCTGCTCGAATCATATTTTCCAAGTTTCTGCACATACATAACATTCTGGGTTGCATTAAGACATTTGCAAATATAGTGACGTGATTGAATCGTTTCCATTTTCATCAAAAATATATTGGCTATTAATTTATTACATTTGATCACCAATGTTTATGATTTGATCACGGGTGACTTCAATTCCTTCAGTAGCATATTTTCGATATTTTTTCAGCAGCGTAGAGGATATTGCCAGTTGTGTATTTTCTATACCAGCCAACGTACAAAATATCAGCATATTCGATGGCATTTTAATTAAAAAAATTGCAATCAGACTGCTTTGAAAAAAAATAAGAACAGCATTTTCCTGTGCAAACATTCATATAATCAAAATTTGATCTTGATAATACGCTGATGTGACAAGAGGCGCAAGCAGATGCACGCGTCTATGACGAAACTAGTCTGATTTATTGCACCTTGGGCCAATGCGTGCAATTGTCACCTTACTACTAAGTTTAAAATTGTCTGACTCGTGATGGTGCCGTGTTGGATACACTTTATAGTAGATGTATAGTGATTATTTTATTTCATGTAAGGTTATGGGATAAACATCTCATGGAAATACATTTATGCTATTGCATTTGTTTGTTCAAGGAAAGCTACAAATCATTTTCTCATTAACAAGTTTCAGACCGTCGACTTGTTTTTTGAGATGTTAATTATATGTTTTATGCATTTTTCACAGAATGAGAACTTTTAAATTGGCTCGTTTGTTAGCAAAGAAGAACGTGGTTTGGTTGATTTTCGTTTGCAATGACTTTTTTCCGTAAATTTATAAAATTTTTGCGCCCTATTGAGGAACGTAAAAATGGTACTTTTGTTCAACCCTCTTTGTACAACATTATGGAAATTAATGGTATTATGGATAATTTTCTTCACAATGCCTATTTCGTCCGTTGGAATGACAACAAAAATGATGACTAAAGGTATGAGACGATTATGTTTTTAAGTAATATAGTTAAATACCTAATTTTTCATAGTTAGTTGTAGTTACGTGTTTCTGAACACGGAACCCTTACCAGAGCGAATCAGTACTTTATGATACACTTTATTTTTTCTACAACAATATAAATTTCTGTGTTGAATTTGTTTGTTTAAGTCTGCAGACTCTTAACCAGAATCCAACAATCCGAGATGTTTGCAGTTCTAGTAGTGTTTTTGAAGTGTGGTAGAGTACATATCATACCTACCTATTAAACATGGTAATCACTAATTGCACCTGTTTGTTAATAACACGATGGATGCGGGTGTACAGTTCATTTTTGCATGTGTGGTACGACAAAACATGAAGTAACTAAATATATTTATATATATAAAACGAGTACACATTTGTCAATAGTTGTTATTTAGAGACTCTAAATTTTAGACGATTGTTGTAAAGCATTATATGGTTGTTTTATTGTTTATTTAATCAGATTCAAACAATACATCAGAGTTACATGAGAATTGTCCAGTAATGTGTCGATGCCCAACACCAGAAACAGTTGATTGTAGTCAAGCAAAATTGACGGATATTCCTCATGATATTTCACAGAAGGCAATTAATCTTTTATTGAATGGAAACAGGTAACTGGTATTTGGCATTAAAATTACTTTGATACACGGTATATTTATTTTGGTAGTATATACATGCCAATGTCTTTAGTACTGATATAAAATAAAATACAAAACTTTATGTATAATGTTAGGACTTATTTTGGGGAGATTTGCATTAATTTTAGATGTTTCGGCATTGCTTTCCCTTGAACGTGTAACATCAAAGATGTATATTGATAGATCAAACGTTATTTAAATATTTTTTTATAGATTCCATGTTATTCTTTTAAACAAGTTTTTCATGAGCAAATCCGTATCCAACCACAGGCATTTGTCAATATTTGGATGTGTTTTCGACCGGGATTAAGGTGTTTACTTTTCATTGACGGAAGATCTCCTTCCGCTACAATATAATTTATCGTCTAATAACATAAATGATAATGGATTATATTTGCGTTCCATGTCAATTCACAATACTTCGAATGATGATCGGTCAATATTTGGTATTTCGGTGGAATACCCTTACAAAAAATCATCATGAATTACATTCTTCCATGCATGGAACTTACTTGTAGCGAGATAATGCTCTGGTGTATGTTCGGCCACTACATGAAATAGCATTTAACCGCAAAAACCTTCAATCAACAATTTTAGTTACAACTCAAGGAAGATGTGCAAAATTCATATCTATTTTTGAAAATAGATTCATCTCATGAAACTTATGATATGTAGTATATTTAAAATTATGATTCTGTATTAATATAACAACAGTGAGTATAAAATAAAAGAAATAAAAAAAAGGTAATCTTATTTTTGGCCCACTTTACAACTACGGTCCATCGTACGCCGAAAACTATCTAAGCAGGCTTAAAAACATAATCAAATCAAGTTTACATATTTTATTTTTTAATTATATTATTTTTATCGTTTCAGACTTTCTGAAATCAGTGATGAATGCTTCAGTATGTGCCCTCGTATTCAAACTCTAAACTTGAAGGGAAATGAAATTTCTGAAGAAACAATATCGAAAAATGCATTTTATGCATTATCAAATCTTCATCATCTTTATTTATCACAAAACAAGCTTCAGAAAATCCCAAAAGATCTGCCAAACAGCATAATAAGTTTAAATCTGGAAGGTAAAAACAGGAATGTAAAGTAGCAATAATTGTCAAATATTGGGATTGTATATAATATCAGCTAAGCGTCGCAAACTCGGAACCAACAGAGGAACGTAGAGCAGCAGTCTTAAAATTTAAATAACTCAATGAACAAAAATAAAGTATGACTGTGTAAATCAAACTGGACAGTATGTATTCTGCAAGAGTAATAAATTGAATTACTTTTTTTTAATATTATGTTTTTTCCCCAATTTAAACAAGAGTGTATGCGGGAATACTTATCATATATATACTGCACTCGATACAAACCAAACAATACCTTGTTGAAGCGTTGTAAAGGAAGTACAATAATTGAATTAGATAAATTAAATAATTAGATCAGATAGGCGGTTCCAATTATTGTACCGGAACTGATTTGTTCAATAAAAAAAAAATCAGAAAGATTCATGTTTCAGTGTTAAGCTCTAACTTTAGGGCTGATATTGTCAACATATTTCCCAGCAGTCCATATTGAAACATAGATTCCAAATAGTCCCCTAATCAGGTATTTAGAAGTATAATCTTTTCACTTCAAAAGTAATTAAAAAAATATTTTTTCTGATATATTTTTCATACATTAACGGATTTGGTTTTCTTCTCGTTTTAGGGAATTTTATACACGAGGTAGATGACTTCGCCTTGGCTCAAAAGCAACATTTACGGCGTCTATATCTTCACAATAATAATATAACATCTGAATCACTTAGCAAGAAAGCTTTCAGACGTTTATTGAAGTTGGAAGAAATCACCCTTTCCAACAATTTTATGCAAGCTATACCGTTGTTTCCAGATTATATTGAAAGGGTAAGAAGAAATAACAGGTTTAAAAAATCTGTTTTGGTTCATTTTAATTAAAGATACTAATTAGGTCACTAGGGTACTAACTGGGTCAGTCGTCAAATAAGAATAAGATGATTAATTAATTGAACTTATCTGCTTGATTTTGGCCGGTACGTTTAGAGCGGAACCATCAACATCGTTTTACTTAAAACTAATATTAATATCTTTCAGTTTTTGTAAATCTATAGTAAATTTAAAAATCACTTTTTGTCATCAAAATGTTCATATCTAAAATATATATATATATTCAAAGATTGATATTAAACTTGATGCAAATTTTTAACGTTTCGAAGTTGAATTTTGTTTGTTTAATTTCTCCTATTTTTTTTATATGTTCAGTTGCACATGGAAAACAACCAGATTTCTGGAATTTCTTCAGGGATATTTCGCAAAAAGAAAAAACTGATAGCACTTTATTTACAAAATAATAATTTAATAAATGAAGGACTGAGCTCAAAATCATTCACAGGACTCAATCGGTAAGAATCTAGGTGGGGAACTCGATTACTTCGTTGATTCTGGTATTTCCGTGTAAAAAGATTGCTACAATATTCAATTTTAGACAATCAACATAGTCGTAAAGCCTTTATCAAGCAATGAACAATTCTGCACTTCTTTTGTTTGCAATCCCCTTCCTATTCTATTATACAAAAATTTCTCATAATACCAAAAGAGTGACCTTTTTTACATTTTAGACTTGAATATTTGGATTTGTCAAATAATGAATTGAAAGAAATTCCGGAAAACATACCAAAGAACATCAGAAGATTACACTTGGAAAAAAATCATTTAGAAAAAATAACACATAAATCCCTCGCTGCATTACAGGTAAGACCAATGATTTTGAATGACGGTGTGTAGAACACCAATATTCTGAGAAGAAATTTCTTGTGTATTGGATGTTTAATAAAATCAACATTCTTTATTTGTTTACGGTGTCTACTGTCGCTTTATAGCATTGAATGGCAACCATCTTTCAATAAATTTTAGCAATTGAACTTTTCATTCAATGTGCTAAATATTGCTGGATATGCCTCACAAACACTATCTACGATTAGTTATTTGCTGCATTAACAATATAGGACGATGTAGCAATACTTAATGTTGCGAAATATAAAGATAATTGGTATAATTTTAGAATGCTATATTTCGGTAATTCAATTTAAAGCCACGCCAGTGTTCTTTACAGGTACTTCCAAAATTCGACAAATGGTTGATTAAGCAAATGTAAGCAAAATCTTAGTCAAGATACCGACTTTATTGATATTATACCAATGATTATCTCAGATTCATTTGCCGTTAAATTTAAAGATAACGCATTAATGCAAAAAATAACAAATTATTGGTGAAAACATGACAAATTATACAGATAATGATCCTAAAATAATAACGACTTTTTCAACATAAAATTTGAAGATTGATTACTTTTTAAGTCTTTAAGTAGATTAGATCATTCCAGCTTGTCAGTGAGCAAGATATATAAGACTCAGAAAATACCTGATTAAATACGAAGCAATCGATACATAAGTCAACCGATGCAATAGGCGTTAGATATATCGGGAAGATATATAGGTGAAACATTACTTGATGGTAAGGCAACCCCGGGTGTATCCTATATTCCAATGCCTGATAATATGATAATTATGACAATTTGTTGATTTTTTAAAGCCTTTTGAAAACATATTGTAAACATGTATATTAAAGCAGCCAATTCTGAACGTTTTGAAGTTCCAATTATTTGGCAAATGAACTTAAGTAAAAATGTAACATAAGATATAATATTTATTGACTAAATCAGTTTTAATTCACAAAACTAACAAATCATTCAAAAAAAATTCAAAGATGCGGTTGTGGAAAATGTAATCTTGGCCCCATGATTGCACATTTTCTCAATTCATTTTCTGTAACGTTTGGTTGATTCCGTTATGAAAATCCAAACATTTTTGCTAATAATTTATATATCAAACAACAAACATTCACATTTATGTTTCAACGTTCTAGTGATTCACTTGATTATTAGGACATTTTGTAGAATAACATGGTATTTAGTGGACACACAGTATGAAAACCGCTAACATACCATTTAAACCTAAGGACCATGAAATTGTTAACCTCCTCGGTTGACTCGTTTATGTCTTTTTTAATATTTATTATCACAGAAACTGGAGTATCTGTTACTTCAATACAATAACTTAAATTCATCAAGTATCGATCCTGGATCGTTTTCCAAACTTCGAAGCCTAAAAACTCTACACATATTCACTAATAATCTCGAAACTGTTCCAAGTTTTCTTCCTCCGAGGTTAGTAATATTTTGACAAACGAAAGATTCAAAGTCGGTGGTTTAATTGGTGATTCAAAACGTCTCCATTTTTGTATGCCATTGGTAATTACATAACAAAGAAATGAAAAATTAATTTACAATGGATCATAATAATTGATACATGTGATGTAAACACCACAAAACTGTTGCTATTTTTACAATCGAATATTCCAGGCTTGAATATCTTATACTTTTGTCAAATGGCATAAAGAAACTCAAACGAAACACATTTGCTGGCGCAAGACAAATTCGAGATTTGAATATGAGATATAACAAAATAACAAACAGTGGCTTAGAAAAAGGAGCATTTCGTCCTCTTCCAAGATTAACAACGATAGATTTGTCAGGAAATCAACTCACAGCTGTACCTAGTCTTCCAAGGTATGATAACAATATGCAAAATATAGACTTTTCGGATTCGTTTTTCAAACAGAGATTTTTTCCACATTTTCTAAAACTATTTTTTTGAAAACTGGATTCCTATAAAACTGAAGAAGTATATACTTTTTAACGTAAGAGTAAAACAGTTAAATTTTGACAGAGTTGAAATTATTTTTGTTTACTAATATTTCAAGTGCATCATGTTTTGCTCATACATATTATTCTCAGATCCGCAGAAGTGGTTCATCTATCAGATAACCGAATAGTCAGAATACCTCATAAATCAATCACGAGACTATCAAGATTATATCATCTTGTATTAAGCGGAAACAAACTTCAAACTATTGCTAATGATATATTCAAAGACTCCATAAAGATGAAGGTATATGTTTGAAAAATAAAATTCTGCAATGTGGGACGCAATCAAAATTGAACACAATACAGAATGTTCAATTACATTTGCAGTGGACTTTTGGGATCTTGTAGTGAACAGTCTATATCCGTGGCTCTCAACCTTTTTCAGTTGGCGGACCGGTAAAATTTAAAAATAATTTTTGCGGACCGGCGGACCTTCAAAATTAACCAAAAATGTCATGAACATAAAACATAATTAAAGGAATGCAGTTAGGACAAAAGTAGGCGGTGCAGAAAAAGGACAATCCAATTTTTGATAAAAAACGTGTTGCACGCTGTTCTAATGAAGTTTCTGCAAGGCGAAGTAGAGCTGTTTGAACTGAATAATATTTTGTTGTTTGTTGGCCTCCATTTAACAATCAAACCTCGCTAAATTATAAGCCTACTGTCAAATTACGGAACGTGCGAACTGAGAATTTTTCAATCGGGTACCGTGCTATGTAGGGTTGGAACCCCGGGAAATCCCGATCCCGAAATCCCGGGTTTGCACTGTTTTTTTTTCAATCCCGATTCCGCAAGTATTTCCTAAAAATCCCGAGATTTTAGGGCTTTGTTATCCACATATAGTTATTCTCACAAATTGTAGGATATACCATTTTATCTAATACTTATTTTGAAAAAAGCCATCCACGCTTGCAGTTTGAGTCAGTCAGACTAAGTGGAATTATTGTGCGAAATTTTACCGAGGAATTATTATTTGACTAGTAGAATTGCCATTATTGCCGACTTATACAATCATAATTTGAACTCAAAATAGCATTCAGGATTTACGCAATGACTTTGCAGGGTTTTTATTTACTATTCAATACGAAAATAAAACATC